GGTATAACAAGTCCATACATTAAAAAAAAAAAAATTGAGATCAGAGACACAACACGGTTGATGGAAATTTGTACTGCTAAATGTATGAATTATGTGAATGATGAAGTAACGTAAAAAGATGGAGTATGCATTGTTCATTTGGATCAAAGAACAAAACAAGAAAAACCTGTCATAATGAGATCTACAAATAAGTCATAATAATAAAATCTGATAGAAAAAATGTAAGTCTTCCTTAATTAGCAGTGTCACAGATCCACTTTTGTTGCCAGAAAAGGCTAGTTCTAGAATGTCAAAAAGATATGTTACTACACAATGTAAAGATTGTAGGTTTGGTTGATCATGAGGCTAGCTAAGCCTTTCCTTGCACAACTACAGCAGTTAATTGATGAAAATAAATGTAAAAATCTGAACTGATTTACAATGTCAATGAGACAGCATTGTTTTGGAAGAAACCTCAATAAGCTTATACAGCTTTTGAAGAGGTGGCCCTAGGCTTTGTGATCAGAGATTGCAATATGCTGCTATTTTGCAATGCAGCAAGCCACATGATAAAACCTACTTCTAATTTACTGAATACATAATCCGAGAGCACTTACCAGATGTAACAACAGTAAGCTGCCTATGTATTGGATGTAAAACAAGAAAGATTGGACAATAAAGAACCTCTTTTTGGATTGGTTCCATCATTATTTCATTCCCATTCTATTTTGACAAAGCCCCAAGACACTCAAGTGATGACAATGAGTTTGCAAATGACAGAGGTTGTCTACCTACCTCAAAATACTACATTCCTTATCCAACTGTTTGATCAGGGGACAATTAAATACTTTGAAGCCAAGTATACAAGGACAGTTTGGTCACATCATTGAGGTCTTGAACAACGATAACCTCATGCTACATTTACATGACAAAAGTTAATTGGGGTAACATTTATCACAATTACAGTAAGTTAACTCCATAAAATAAATAGTGTTAAAATAACCAAGTTATTAGAATAGTGACTAAAATTAGCTAACTTAGTTCCGTTCAAATGAAAAATGCTTATTACATTCAAAGGCTTGATTGGGGTTAATTTTAGTCACGTGGTATCGGTATCATTTGCTTTTGGAAGACCATCATAGTTGAAGTCTCTTCTTAATAAAACAGGCACTGGAGAACACCAAAGACAAATCTGTAACTGTCTATTGGAAGAACTTCTGGCCCGAGGCTACGAAAGACCACTTCAGACAAACTATGGCCCATTTGAAATATATAGCACAAGAAAACCATTGCAGAAATAAGGAGTTTGTCAGTACAAATGGTAGAACAGGATTTGGGACTTCAAGGCATACGATGGGTAGGGTAGACAACAGTATTATTAAATGATCTGGTGAAGTTCATTTGTTCAAATTCAGATAGTGAGGAAAGTTAAAAAAGGAACCAAGAGAAATTTAACCAGGAAAAAATTGCACAAGCAATGTATGATACTGAACACAGTATTTCTTTTTATTATATAAAGGTAAGAAATATTTTTGAAAGAAGTAATATGATTATAATTACATCATATTCTGAATCTGAATATAAATTTTATGAGTGTTATTACACTTGAAATTATTTAATTTATTAATTTTTTTTCAATGAAATAACTAACAAAATCTGATTTTTTTTCTAAATTCTTTAAATATTTCATATGAAATTTATTACCTATCACCAAATAAACCTTTTAAATCAAAAGTATCAAATGAGTGATTTTTATTTGAACTATTATTGATTAGAAAAATGATAAAATTTAAAATACACACATTTAATCAACTATTTTGTATTTTATACAAATAAAAATACAGACAACATGTACCACAAAGAAAATATTTTTAACAGAAAATTTTAATCTTTCATTTCTCCATCCTCTTCTTCCTCTTCAACTCCCCTTACATATAACACATTGTTACATCTGATAAGAATTTCTCCTAAATTTCCAGTACAATTTCCATCAATATACTCTTCTGTGTTGGCTAACTAAATTAAAATATAAAAAAAAAAGATATGTAGCATCATATTTTAATGCTAATTATACTCCTAGTTACAATATTTATTAATGACACAAATATATACTGTTTGTCAAAAGTTAAGCATGGATCACAAAAAGCTAAATAAAAGCATAAACAGCACGATAGCTTAAGGCTCCTGCCAAAAGAAACAATAAGACGTCTGCATCATCTTTGCATGCTAACCTTGTGTCATCAACAGGAAGGCTGGTATCTGTTTCAACTGTTACCAGAAGACTTTGCAAGGCTGGACTATGTCCCTTAACCAGCAGTATGTGTGCCTTTAATCTCCAGACAGACAGGCTCATCTGAAGTGGCGTCAGGAGCATATAGACTGGACTCAAGAACAATAGTCCCCTATCTGTTCACAGAGAAGTCTAGGTTCTCCCTGGAATCTGTCGGCAGGCTTACATTGATCTGGGAGGGAGGTTGGAACCTATTCCAAACCAGAGAACATAATGAACACTGATCTCCATGATGGAGATACCATTACTTCTCACAGGTATTAGGAACACAATGGCAAACCTTATGCTGGTGCAATCAATGACGATTTCATTTTAATGGACGATAATGCTTGTCCACATATTCTATAGGGTTGAGATCTAGAGAACATCTATGGGATGCACTAGGAAGACATGTTTCAACTATCACACCTCTCCACAAACCCTCGGTGATCTCCAAATCACACTCTTTGCATGAATGACAATCGCTGCATTATCACTTTTTGCAATTTCTTATCGAAGGAATGAGTTGATGCTGTCAAATTTTCATTACTACTAGAAAAGGTCACATTCCATACAGACCTCAACATTTGTATTCAAACCTTTTTTTATCTTCACATTTACTGTTACTTGCATCCATCTTTTATTTTTTCTGTTAACATTCACTCATTTTCCCCCCACATGTATGCAGTTTATACCTAAAGTATGCGAGTATAACCCTGAAAAGAATTTTATAAATTTGTTTAAGTGATGTTAAAAATATTGTCATTTTTGTGATCCATGTTTAAACTTTTGATGAGCAGTGTATTAATTTTTAGATTTTCTAATGATATAGTCAAAGTCTGTGATATGTATTATAATTTTGAAAGCAATATAATAATAAACATAGGTTAAAACAACATCGTTATTGTAACGCTAATCCGCGTTATAATAAACATCTGAATAACGATTGTCGTCCTCTAGTTTTTTGCGCACACTTCCTCTTGGTATAACAAGTCCTTAAACAAGTCCTCATTTCCCCCCCACACGTAATTGCATAAAAATTAAGAATTATCAACAAATATTCTAAATTAAATTCTTACCTGAAGGTTCATATATCCATCAACAGATACAAGATATCCTTTATATTCCATTCCCCATTTTAATTTTACTACTACTGGTTTACCAGTTAAGCTATTAAGGAAAGGTTTTGGGTTTAAGGGCATAGTCTAGAAAGAAAAAAATATATATATATTAAAGTTATGAGCATTTTAAAGAAATATTTCAACATTACATTTGAATTTATTATTTCAAAAGTTATTATATAACCATTTTCAGCTGTTGTTTGATTGTTCACAAGAAAGGATTTGCTACAGGAACATACTACTTTTCCACTGCTGTGCTATACTACTGCAAATTAAGAACTGAGAGGAAGAGAACAAGGAGAAGAATTCTTAAAGTGTTCAAGTTCTCAGAATGTATCCAATAATGTCTGAACATTTGACTTTTGAACAGTCCTATGCAATATTAGTGGTTATTTAATTTCAATAATATATCTGTTTTATTATTATTGTTAATGTATCAAAATTTTTCCATGAATCTGGTTTAGTCTGCCAGAGTCTGAATAAAAAAATAACAACGTATTATGCACAAGTCAAATTATAACAGCCAACTATATCTTTGTCAAGATCACCTAGGAGCCATAGCTATGGGAGGACTGAAGTATCTACACCAACTTACAGCTTAGACGGTAGTGTCCACCCATAGTAGTATAGAGGTAGCCCCGTACAACATAGTATCACTAATATTGTTTGAAAATTGGGGATATCCTCCGTACGACGCCTTCCGGTTTCACTCTTAACAGTTTTGGAAATCCTCCATACAAATATCACAATTTTTAAGCATAAACATCTTTGTTCGATCTTTTTTATTTATTCAAGCGTGTGTGTTGTCTCAAATTTGCCCATGGATTTTTGAATATCAAAATTTTCATTTGTTTTGTGCCTTTTGTCAGGTTTACTTTAATGAAAACTGATAGCACAATTATATTCCCTATTCTAGCTTTACTATCAACGGGTGTCATTGTCGTTGTTTTCAGATTTTATCCTTTTAAGACCGTCACTGTGTTTTGTTTTTATAGATTAATCTCCACATTTAGTAAAGTATATTTAAAATTTTTTAGATAAGTGCTATTAAAAAACTCTTTTTTAACCATTTACTTTTGTTAACTTTATAACCATATACTGTACAAAGAATAGTATACTTTTGTTAACTTTTGGAACGTAACCCTATGTTTTACATTAGTCCTTTGTTCCATAGCATGGATTTGCATAACACAACACTTTTTCAGAACGTAACTACAAGGGATACCCGGGAACCTATTCTGAGTAGTATCGTTAAGCTAACAAATACAATAAAAACCAGTTTCTATTGGAACCATGAGATTCACATTTAATCAACTGTGACAATGCTATTCTGAGCCACACGTTTCATTTTCGGTTTCGATTGCCACATGTGATAACTAAGACTTTGTTATCGATCACTCTCGAGATGCCATTAGGAACATAATGAAAGTGAAAACAACTTTCTTTTGATGTAAGAATGATTCTACTTCACGAACAATTGGAGAGAGAGTTATAAACTATATTGTTGTATTGCTTGAAAATAATTACCTTAACTATTTATGAATATTGTATGAATAATGTAATTACTTTCTTGTTAAAATTTAAAGTAAGTAGGTATACCGTATTTATATATTTATATTCTAAGCTATCAGTAACTTTTTGCCATCTTTCTGGATCTTTTTGTGAGCCGACTCCATCAGAATTCAGACAGTTGGCTATTTCCTGCCACAATTTCTGGCAATCTTTTACAGTAAAGAAAGCATCTAACTTTCCTGACATTAATTTAGCATTGTCTTCTATAAAATTAACAAGCATCTCTAACTGGCGACTTGTAGTTCATTGGCTTTGTTGGCCTTTCTTCAACATTTTAAAACAAAACTATTTCACTAGTGCTGGTACACGACAATGCTAAAACCATGTGCTTTGCTTAGAAAATGGCGGGTTGCAGTCACGTGAAAAAAAATACAATGTTAACTAAACTGTGATTGGTTAAAGCGTAACAGCTATCGATAGCGTGGAACCCAGACGCATCTCGACCGACTACCCATATCGAAACCCACTTAACTTGGAGCACAGAATAGCGATTTGTCTAAGGTTCATTAACTGCCTTTCACTAAGGGGATTTATTGAATGTCCTGTGTATTGCTCTCTTCGAGTTATCAGAAGAGCTCAGAATAGATCCCCTGTATATGCTTTTGCTTTCATCACACAAATTGTAGCCCCATTTATACCTTGAGTGAAAATAAATGCATACAAGTTTATGATTCTTCACATAAAACATTAAAAGGAGTAATGATTTTAAAGAAAAATTTATTAACGATCTTCATTTGAAGAACATAGTATAGAGTTCAAAGAAAACAGTCTTAAAAATATATAGCTAAATACCAGCAGAAAAAGAAAATACATAAAAACAACAGATGTTGATGACAAAGTATTTGCATTATACCTGTACAATTTAGGTTCAACCCAGAAAGTGATATCACCCACTAAAAATAGCTGCAATTTAATATCTTATTTGAAGGTAACTTTTTTTTTTTTTAGATATATTAGAAGTAAAGTTAAATATTAAATTTTTATCACATTCCTATTATCAGGACCTACTACAAGTCGCTAAGTACTATCAAGATGAACAAATGGATCTTCAAGCCTTGCACCACTTTCCCTTACTTAAGACACTTTTTTCCTGTTTCAACACTATGTTACCATCTTCCACAGCAGTTGAAAGTGTGTTTAGTTACAGGGATCTTATTATAAATCGAAAAGTAAACAATATAAATGATGATTTATTCGAAGCCATAGCTGAAATATTTTAACACTTGCATTTATTTGAAATTAATGATGACTTCATTCATTCAGTAAAAAAAATTGTTTTCAAATTGATGATTTATGTATCATACAAAAATACCAGAAATTATTTATAAAGATATCTACATAAAAGTCACATGTAATAATGTATACAGTAATTCATTGTTTATATAAAAAACAGCAACTGTCTTTACAATTACATTGAGTATAAGACAAAAGATCACATAAATAAATCAGTTTTTTAACACTTAAAAGTACAAAACTTATAAAAGACTTATGTAGTAAGAAAAATAAATTATATAAGTTTACACGAACAATGACAATACAGTGAAACAGCATTGTAAAACATTGTCAATAGACCAACGGACTTGAGAGCACTCTCGTAAAAAAATGGAATTGCCCATTTAATTCATTAAAAGATAAATACTTTTATTCATTTTCTAATTAACAAGTAAAAATGCTATCTTAACTTAAGTGAATAAATAGCTAATTAAATAGGTCAGAAGAAAAAACGAATACCTGCTGTCATTTCTTATGAACTAATTTGAATTTATTCAATTACTTTTTTATTTGAATAAAAGTATTCGAATGCTAGATATCCATTAAAACGAATCCATTAGTTCAACGAAACAGTCGACTATCTAAATAGACGGAAACCACAAATAACTTGTCGTTGAACTTAAATAACAATAAAAACGGCACTTAGACCTTGTATTTAAATCGTTGATTGGTGCATTTTTATTCAATTAGTACAACAATTCTCCACGAACAATCAAATAGGCTACTCAAAGCTGGCATAGTCACTTGGGCTAAATAGTTAAGTGCAATAGTCTTAGGGCATGTTTGGAAATTCTAACGAGTAACACCACAGTGGCGGTGACGGATATCATTGGCCATAGACAGTTATTCCGGGAGATTAGTGCATTTTTAAACATGCTGGTTATTTTGTGGCATTCAACGTGTCAGAAAGTTGAGAGGAGGTTATATCATTAATCATATCATTGCTCTCTAATATCAATTCAGAATCGAAAAGTTCATCAGATGATGAAAATGAACTTGTACATACAATTTTTTGGACAAGCACGAGAGAAAAATTCATCTTTGTGTAAACTGCAAAATCAATAATTTCGCAGTATAAACATTTGCTGGCCATCAGTCTTGCCATCCTGCCCAATCTGAAATTTGGGACGAGATGGCTTTCTGTTCTTGGTCGCATAATGCCTTAAAAAACGAATTGTTTTATTTTCTCCAAATTTTTAAAATCACAGCCACATCCGCCACGACAATACAATGTGTCCGCCATCCTGTAATTCAAGAGAACCACCATAACCGCTCTGCCACCGCTGTTACTTCGGCAAGTACCACAGAACTGGCAACGTCATAACAGTGATTTTTAAACGCGGTCGGTTACATTTTCTAAATGCTCCGGTAATTATCAACAGTTACCAGTAACACCGGTAAGAATTTCCAAACATGCCCTTAGCTAAGCACCAAGACTCCTGACTGCACCAGGACATGGGCTCATTTCGGGAACCGTGTCTGGCAAAGGGTCACATATAGAGGTATGGTTTCTTTGACTTTTTTGCTCCTATGGGCATGCTCTACGGCTCTGTCAAGGTCTCAACAGTGTCATTCACATGTACAATTGTGCCCAGTAGAATGGTAATTACGTATGAAGATAAAGTCACTTTGTTATCATCACTAGCTTCTTTAAATCTTCCTTAAATTAATGTACTTATATAACAATGAGGAATTAGCATCAATGAGTTTTAAAAGATAATTCGTTATTTAATTAACTATAAAATATATATCACTTACAGCCATCTTGATATTTTTAAAAGTATTTCGCTAAACTTCACGTGGTCAGACACACAAACGAATTTCGAGCGTAGCGACTCCTCGCTTTTCTAAGCAGCGTTGCCAGATCTGAAGGTTAAAAAGTAGCGTGGTTGTGCTTTAAAAGTAGCGGATTTGAATTGTTTGTAGCCCAAACAATAAAATTGAATTATTTTGCAACTATGCATTTTTACTAATGAAATAAGTTTGTAATATATATATATATATACACATATACAGGGTGTATCAGAATGACGTTTTAAAAATTTGGGGATTGTAGAGGATGAAATTTTGAACGTTTTGATATAAGGAACCTACAGCCAGAAATGAAATATAAAGTTTTAACAGCACTTTGCACTATTCTATGAGGTCGGTATGCTGAATGAAACAGCAGAATACAGTATTTATGACAAGTTTTATTGACAAAACAGTAGAGTACAATCAAACTGTACAGTACATCGAATCAGTGGCTGCACTACTTTAGAGTAAATGTTCAGTGTGACGACAGGGCCGTGCCGTGCTATGATGCAGAGATGCAGCCGCATCAGGCGGCACCGTAATGGAGCGTCATAAGCATCATTTAAGGAGTGGCATAAATGGCATTTAAAATAATCTTGTTTCTAATAAATATCATTTTAATAAAATAATCCTTTCTGAAATATTTCAAACCGATTAATATATTTACATAACACGGATGTAAAAACATGATGTGATCGTAATATGTCACGCGTTGTTAAAAATATATTCTAACAATACGTAACGAATTGTTACAATGTATTGTTCGTTTTTTTCTATTGTAGGTGACGATTGTAAAGACAGAAGACGCGGACGAAAGGCGGAGAAAGCCCGCTCGGGTGAAGACAGGAGTTGCCGACGGGGCGAAGAGGGGTCTCTGTGTCACGTTTCTTTAAGGCCCGCTCGAGTAAAGAGGCCGACGGGAGATGGAGAGCCCTCCGAGTGTCCCGCATTTAATTAAGGCCCGCTCAAGTGAAGACATCGACGAAAGGCGAAGAACGCTCTCTGTGTTCCGAATCTTTAAGACTTGCTGGGGTGAAGACAGGAGATGCTGACGGGGCAAAGAGGGGTCTCTGTGTCACGTTTCTTTAAGGCCCGCTCGAGTAAAGAGGCCGACGGGAGATGGAGAGCCCTCCGAGTGTCCCGCATGTTTAAGACCCGCTCGGGTGAAAACAGAAGACGCCGAGGAAAAGGCGGAAAAGGCTGTCTGTGTCCCGTATCTTTAAGGCCCGCTCGGGTGAAGACAGATGATGCCGAGGAAAAGGCGGAAAAGGCTGTCTGGTNTAAGCTTCTCTAATTATCTTTATTTTTAACTTGTCCTCAATATTATATCAAAAATGAAGATGAAGAGACAATGAAAATAGCATTAATTCAAATTAAGATTCCTTAATTTTAATTCAGATTAAATTAACATATAAATTTTATGTTAATTTAATCACTTTCAATAGTATTTATAAATTTGAATTTATAATCAGATTCATATTTATTTATAAATAGAATAGTGTCAATTACTTACAAAACGTTAATATTTTCAGTAATCTCAACTTTTGTTACCTAAATTCAACTGACACAATTACTGTCAGCCGAATTTAGGCTGAAATTTAATGTGAATTTAGGCTATATTACACTCAATATACTTATTTTTGTATGGATATATCCCTGTACTATTTGCAAGTATGAAGTAAAAAATATAAAAGAGCAGTACCAGTAACTTTATAAATAAGCATTGTTATATTGCCTTGTTTAAATTTATGAACGCGCATAACGAAACAAACAGCAATAAGACATTTGTTACATTTTCTTAGCAAATTAATTATAATAAACTAACTTCTGAAAACAGTTCATTTATTTTTTAATTAAAAGATCGCACATAATTATCTTTAAGACCGAAGTATTGATGCAATTCATAATAACGAGTTTATAAAATATGATTTTTGTATTCGTTGCTCTAATTTACATTTAGAAAAGTAAGTAAATAAAATAATAATTTAGAAAAAGTGAGAAGTCAACGACTCAAATTCAAACAGGGATAATTTCCATGTTGTTTGCAACCTTCAGAGTTGATTGTATTTTGCAGTTGTATTGTTCGACACAATACTATTTTTGTGACTGACTTCACCTTTCGATGCATTGCATCATACAATACAGCTGAATAAAGAAAATAAAATGAATTCTATGAAAAGACTAAGAAGAATTGTTTACAAGCATTTTTCAATATAAATTTCTAGAAAGATTAATATTTAATAAAATAAAAATGACAAAGTAATAAGATAAAAAAAAAAAATGAAGTAGAACATTTATACCTTAAAGAAACATTTGTAATCCTATAATCGATAAGAATTCAATAAAAATACATTCGGTGGCTGTTTAGTAATTGACCGAGAGCTAAGAAATAATAAATAATAAATGGTAATATTAATATTTTTCTACAATAAACCCCTATTTACAGCTGTATCAAAGTATAAGCGGTTAATCAGTGTAAGAATCGGCATTGGATTTATATTTTAATGCAATCTTCCCAAATAACATTCCAACTGATCTTTTTTTTATGTTTCAAAAATAATTTGCATTGCAAAAATTATTATTCTTGGAACAAATTCCTGAAATTTAAGATATTCAAAATGTGAAATTATTTTTCTATATCTGCCGTTTATTTTTTAACATTGAGCTACCTTGTTTTCGGTTAATTAATACAATTGTTTTGCTATAAAGATACATATTAACACAAGATATCATCAAAATATATATAATTTGGTAAATTACAATAATTTATTTAAAGTTGAAAATAATATATCAAATTTTTGACAAACTTAAAATAAACATCGCAGTAAATTTTAAGATTTAACGGGTGAAATTACAAATTATGGTTTCAATCATCTATTAGATTTTAATATAGAAACCTGAATGTACTATGGAATCAAGTAAAAGTATTGGAAAATTGAAATCGGGAGATAATTTCCAGACAACTGGATCTTTAGAAGAGACTTAGATTAATATAAAAGAGACTCTGACCATCTAATTCCAAGGGAATGGCTCACATAACTAGAAGGCTGGATGAATATTCTTCTTGATTTTTCATTATTAAAATAATTCATTTAGAAATATTTGCTTTTGCGATTCATATAATTTTACATTAGTTTAATATTAAAATGCAATGTAAGAGTAACGTCGCCACCGTACAGTACGTTGGAGGTACAGTATTTTACTTTTTTGCTTCTAGAATTAAATTTTAGTTATTGTTTTTTTCATAGTCTACTAAAGCTGTTTCTATTTATTGATGTTTTTGGAATTTTTTTTTGAATTTTGCATAAACTGTCTTTAGTTTAAATATTGTTAAGTATACTTGATTAATATAAATTAGATTTAAATATAAACTTTATGATCAGTATTCTTTACATGTTGGNAAAAAACGAATTGTTTTATTTTCTCCAAATTTTTAAAATCACAGCCACATCCGCCACGACAATACAATGTGTCCGCCATCCTGTAATTCAAGAGAACCACCATAACCGCTCTGCCACCGCTGTTACTTCGGCAAGTACCACAGAACTGGCAACGTCATAACAGTGATTTTTAAACGCGGTCGGTTACATTTTCTAAATGCTCCGGTAATTATCAACAGTTACCAGTAACACCGGTAAGAATTTCCAAACATGCCCTTAGCTAAGCACCAAGACTCCTGACTGCACCAGGACATGGGCTCATTTCGGGAACCGTGTCTGGCAAAGGGTCACATATAGAGGTATGGTTTCTTTGACTTTTTTGCTCCTATGGGCATGCTCTACGGCTCTGTCAAGGTCTCAACAGTGTCATTCACATGTACAATTGTGCCCAGTAGAATGGTAATTACGTATGAAGATAAAGTCACTTTGTTATCATCACTAGCTTCTTTAAATCTTCCTTAAATTAATGTACTTATATAACAATGAGGAATTAGCATCAATGAGTTTTAAAAGATAATTCGTTATTTAATTAACTATAAAATATATATCACTTACAGCCATCTTGATATTTTTAAAAGTATTTCGCTAAACTTCACGTGGTCAGACACACAAACGAATTTCGAGCGTAGCGACTCCTCGCTTTTCTAAGTGCTTTTCGGCCCTCTAGTGGTAATACGAAAAATAAAAAAAAATTATTATTTTTTTAAAATAAATTGATTAAATTAATTCATAATAATTTATTAATAAATGAATGTTTAAATTATATATATATATATATATACTATACGACTTAAATGAGTAGACAATAAATTTATATTTATAATTATGTATATAAAAGAAAGGGTGGCAACTTTATCCGTAAACTTTTAGGCACGTGTTTAGTTTTGACAGCTATGGCTGCATCCTTTATTGGATGCAGACACGTGTTTATATTGAGTTTAGTTTTATTTATTATTTTTACTAACGTAAGAAGTGATTGCTCTAAAAAAGATGAATTCTGTAGTTCCGTTAATGAAAATAAAGAAGAAAACAAATATCGACAAGGTTAACATTGCTGATTTTAAGTATTTTAAAATGTTTTGCTTTAATATGAGTGCTTTTTTAATTAATTTTTATCAGATCAGTCTAATTTAGGTAAAAGTCCATCCTTTATACATGGGGTATTGTTTTCTAATTTTGTTAATGCACTAACAAGGGAAAATTCAAATCCATAACGAAATAAGTGATGTTTCAAGAGCTGTTGGATGTATTTGTTTACGAGAAGAACGAAAATGAGTTTCATTTTTTGTGTCATGCTCCTCCATGTGTCAAAAATTGGCCTCAAAGTTTGTGACACATACATAGATATAAGATTACCTCATACTGATGGCCTTCTTGGTGGCAAAGTGGTAATAAGAGGATAATTTTTTTCTATCTATCTCTGGTTACCAGAGGTACAGCACCTATGAATTACCAGAGGGAATGTACCTCTGGTAACTCATAGGTGCTTTACCTATGAATTAGATTTAAACTATTGTTCAAACAATAGTTTGAATCTAATTCATAGGTAAACTTGAATATTTATAAGAGAATGATTAGGTTCACCACACCAAAATATTATTCAATTAAAGAATAAGATAACCACTGTCTATTAGTGTTACACAGTTTTTATTATAACACCATCGCAAGCACTTTCAACATTTTATCAATGTCGTTTTCAGATGATGAAGAGAACATAATTTAGGAACATTAGAATAAAACTTTACCTTGTGTAAAGGTTCCTCTTCACCAGGTACTGGTACAATATATATAAAAATAGATTCACAATAAACCTTTGAGAAACCAGTTAAATATTTATTTGAAAAAACAAATGTTTTCGAGCATATTCGGCCTTCTTCAGGTTAAACATTCCGAGATTCTAAAAGCTGTTGTGCTTAAAGATTTAAGAGTTTTGGAACATACACAACTCATTACACGCATGCGTATCAAGCATTGCATAAACAAAATATATTTACTATTTTACATACGCATGAAATATATTTTGTTTATGCAATGCTTGATACGCATGCCGTGTAATGAGTTGTGTATGTTCCAAAACTTTTAAATCTTTAAGCACAACAGCTTTTAGAATCTCGGAACGTTTAACCTGAAGAAGGCCGAAGAATACGTTGAATGCGCTCGAAAACGTTTGTTTTTTCAAATAAATATTTTACTGGTTACTCAAAGGTTTATTGTGAATCTATTTTTAAATAAAACTTTAAAATGCAATGTTAACTATTTGAAAACGGAATATAATCTAAATATATTTTTTTTACTTTCTGACCTGTTTTTTTGTGTATTGGTGTGTTTATACCCAATTGTGGTGATTTTTGATAGAAGTTCTGTGATAGTAATGTTATAGTCTGTGAATTTCTCATCAGATCTGGGCCTATAGGTGCAAAAGTTTGGGAATGCAAAAAATTCAAAATAATAATAAAAATAACAAAGAAATAATTTTATGTAGAAACATTTTATTAAGGAATTAGTAAAAATTAAAAGCTTAAGTAGGGGCAAAGTAAGACATATCAGTTGAGTAATATTAAATATGACTATATTTTGAATAAACAGAGTGGTAGTATTAATGATGGGTTTTCAGTAGCGGTGCCTTTTTCTCCTTCAATATTTAAAAATCTGTAAAAATACAATTATTGTAGAATTAAAATTATAAAATAGAATTATTCAGTGCAAAAGTAGCAGTATTAGTTTTGGGGTGAAACATTTCTAAATGCCCAATTGGTTACAATGACAAAACTAGGATTTTCATTACTGTTCTGTTTAATTTTACATAATTGTTGCATTGAATGTTTAACTTTGCATTGATAATTATATAGAGTTTATATAAATTTTATCTGTACAGGAGTATTATTTAACTTTTTCATTATAAAACATTTTCTTCAGTTGAGGATTCGGCATAATTTTTTAGTTCAAATTCTGGAAATGAATTAAAAATGATGATTAATGCAAGGTTAATGTTATCTAAAAGATTCGGAATCATTTAAAATAATTAAAAATTAATTCTAATTTTAAATAAATTTATAAATACTAAATGCAGGGCTTCGGAGTCGGAGTTTTGGTGTTTTAGTCAGAGTCGGAGTTGGAGTCGGTAGATTTTTACGCGACTCTACAGCCCTGGCAGGGCTGTGGAATCGGAGTCGGAGTTTTGGAGTTTTAGCCGGAGTCGGAGTCAGAGTCGGATTGGTAAGGAAGAGTCAGAGTCGGTAGATTTTTACGCGACTCCACAGCCCTGACTAAATGAGAAGAATGAATTTTTTATAAAGTTCAATAATTTTAATAGATTTTGTATTATTATATTTACAGAAGAATGCGAAATTAAGACCTTGCTTGTTAATTAATTATTTATTTATATTTATTTCATAAATATGTGGCAACTTTATCCGTAAACTTTTAGGCACGTGTTTAGTTTTGACAGCTATGGCTGCATCCTTTATTGGATGCAGACACGTGTTTATATTGAGTTTAGTTTTATTTATTATTTTTACTAACGTAAGAAGTGATTGCTCTAAAAAAGATGAATTCTGTAGTTCCGTTAATGAAAATAAAGAAGAAAACAAATATCGACAAGGTTAACATTGCTGATTTTAAGTATTTTAAAATGTTTTGCTTTAATATGAGTGCTTTTTTAATTAATTTTTATCAGATCAGTCTAATTTAGGTAAAAGTCCATCCTTTATACATGGGGTATTGTTTTCTAATTTTGTTAATGCACTAACAAGGGAAAATTCAAATCCATAACGAAATAAGTGATGTTTCAAGAGCTGTTGGATGTATTTGTTTACGAGAAGAACGAAAATGAGTTTCATTTTTTGTGTCATGCTCCTCCATGTGTCAAAAATTGGCCTCAAAGTTTGTGATACATACATAGATATAAGATTACCTCATACTGATGGCCTTCTTGATGGCAAAGTGGTAATAAGAGNTGTTGGATGTATTTGTTTACGAGAAGAACGAAAATGAGTTTCATTTTTTGTGTCATGCTCCTCCATGTGTCAAAAATTGGCCTCAAAGTTTGTGACACATACATAGATATAAGATTACCTCATACTGATGGCCTTCTTGATGGCAAAGTGGTAATAAGAGGATAATTTTTTTCTATCTATCTCTGGTTACCAGAGGTACAGCACCTATGAATTACCAGAGGGAATGTACCTCTGGTAACTCATAGGTGCTTTACCTATGAATTAGATTTAAACTATTGTTCAAACAATAGTTTGAATCTAATTCATAGGTAAACTTGAATATTTATAAGAGAATGATTAGGTTCACCACACCAAAATATTATTCAATTAAAGAATAAGATAACCACTGTCTATTAGTGTTACACAGTTTTTATTATAACACCATCGCAAGCACTTTCAACATTTTATCAATGTCGTTTTCAGATGATGAAGAGAACATAATTTAGGAACATTAGAATAAAACTTTACCTTGTGTAAAGGTTCCTCTTCACCAGGTACTGGTACAATATATATAAAAATAGATTCACAATAAACCTTTGAGAAACCAGTTAAATATTTATTTGAAAAAACAAATGTTTTCGAGCATATTCTTCGGCCTTCTTCAGGTTAAACATTCCGAGATTCTAAAAGCTGTTGTGCTTAAAGATTTAAGAGTTTTGGAACATACACAACTCATTACACGCATGCGTATCAAGCATTGCATAAACAAAATATATTTACTATTTTACATACGCATGAAATATATTTTGTTTATGCAATGCTTGATACGCATGCCGTGTAATGAGTTGTGTATGTTCCAAAACTTTTAAATCTTTAAGCACAACAGCTTTTAGAATCTCGGAACGTTTAACCTGAAGAAGGCCGAAGAATACGTTGAATGCGCTCGAAAACGTTTGTTTTTTCAAATAAATATTTTACTGGTTACTCAAAGGTTTATTGTGAATCTATTTTTAAATAAAACTTTAAAATGCAATGTTAACTATTTGAAAACGGAATATAATCTAAATATATTTTTTTTACTTTCTGACCTGTTTTTTTGTGTATTGGTGTGTTTATACCCAATTGTGGTGATTTTTGATAGAAGTTCTGTGATAGTAATGTTATAGTCTGTGAATTTCTCATCAGATCTGGGCCTATAGGTGCAAAAGTTTGGGAATGCAAAAAATTCAAAATAATAATAAAAATAACAAAGAAATAATTTTATGTAGAAACATTTTATTAAGGAATTAGTAAAAATTAAAAGCTTAAGTAGGGGCAAAGTAAGACATATCAGTTGAGTAATATTAATATATGACTATATTTTGAATAAACAGAGTGGTAGTATTAATGATGGGTTTTCAGTAGCGGTGCCTTTTTCTCCTTCAATATTTAAAAATCTGTAAAAATACAATTATTGTAGAATTAAAATTATAAAATAGAATTATTCAGTGCAAAAGTAGCAGTATTAGTTTTGGGGTGAAACATTTCTAAATGCCCAATTGGTTACAATGACAAAACTAGGATTTTCATTACTGTTCTGTTTAATTTTACATAATTGTTGCATTGAATGTTTAACTTTGCATTGATAATTATATAGAGTTTATATAAATTTTATCTGTACAGGAGTATTATTTAACTTTTTCATTATAAAACATTTTCTTCAGTTGAGGATTCGTCATAATTTTTTAGTTCAAATTCTGGAAATGAATTAAAAATGATGATTAATGCAAGGTTAATGTTATCTAAAAGATTCGGAATCATTTAAAATAATTAAAAATTAATTCTAATTTTAAATAAATTTATAAATACTAAATGCAGGGCTTCGGAGTCGGAGTTTTGGTGTTTTAGTCAGAGTCGGAGTTGGAGTCGGTAGATTTTTACGCGACTCTACAGCCCTGGCAGGGCTGTGGAATCGGAGTTTTGGAGTTTTAGCCGGAGTCGGAGTCAGAGTCGGATTGGTAAGGAAGAGTCAGAGTCGGTAGATTTTTACGCGACTCCACAGCCCTGACTAAATGAGAAGAATGAATTTTTTATAAAGTTCAATAATTTTAATAGATTTTGTATTATTATATTTACAGAAGAATGCGAAATTAAGACCTTGCTTGTTAATTAATTATTTATTTATATTTATTTCATAAATATTAAAAAGTATTTCATGATAAGTTGTTCTATTGTTATTTAGATGTTAATGATAAATGGAAATCTTATTTAAATGAAATAGAAGAGGCATTGAAAGTATATGAACCCTGCAATGCAACAGATTGCTCTTGCCATAAAAAGTAAGATAAAAGTGACAAATAATTAATTATACTTTTGGGAATTTGGATTATAACTTATTATTAACTTATTGTTAACTTGTAAGCCGAATTAATAATAATTTGATAAATCTTTAATTTTGAATGCTGCTTGTCTTGAACCATGTTTATATTAAAAAATTTATTTTCAAGCATTAATGTGAGTTTGCTACAGTTCTAGACAAGTGACATTTGGATTTGAAGATTTACCGAAATATTATTATTAATTTGGTCTACGAGTTAGAGGTTTTTAGCATGATAAATAATAATTATTATTATTATTCTTTTGATTAAATAAATTACAGTAGACCCCCTATAACGCGAAGATACGTTCCTCATTATACGAATTTCGCGTTGTTGGAATCCTTGCGCTGTGATTGGCTCACGTATTTGACACGTGTGAAGTTTACGGACTACGGCTGTTTGAAAGGTTTTCTTCCATAAAATTAATCGATTCTAGACTAATCCGACTTAACATTTCCAAAATACGTATATTTTTTTTTTGGAAATAATCCATATAAACTACGCCATAAACAAAAAATTGTAGGATTACTTACCGAGTGTGCACCATTCGACATCGCCGTTGCTCAAGCTTGTTTTCGTCGCGGAACAGCTCAGCAAACCACGGCTGCGATTTCTGATGTTATTTTTCTGCAAAAACTTCGCTGAACTTTGGAGACATCATTAATATAAATAATTTTTATTGCCGTTGAATAAGAAATGTTTCTTTCACAAGAAATGTATAAAATTGCAGTACTGTATTAGACTTACGGTACCTAATTTACATACTGTACAGACGATAGTAAACTCAACTTACTCGCCTAAACTCTCCGTAGCGTGGCGCTGGACGGCGGAAAGTATATATATAATTATAATAAAGTTACAATAAATTAAGTTAATATATAATTATATATACAGTACCTAATTTATATATAATTATATGTACAGTACCTAATTTATATATAATTATATGTACAGTACCTAATTTATATATAATTATATGTACAGTACCTAATTTATATATAATTATATGTACAGACGAAACTAAACTCAATTTACCCGCCTAAACTGTCCGTAGCGTTGCGCTGGACGGCGGAAAATAGTTCGGCTGCTCGTCCACGATGACGAGTTGGCGATGACGTTTTACGCGTTCCTTTATATGAATACTGCTGCAATTTTTTCGCCGCGTCATAGGAATCTATGTTATTGGAACCTGCGTTATAGGGGGTCTACTGTATAAAGATAAAATTTTTTTTGAAACGATTAAAATTATTTAGCTTTCGTTTCATTATAGTGTATTGATGTATTTACTAATTATTGACAAAAATAAATCTTTTAAACCAACAGATTAATTTAAAAACTATTATTAGTTTTAAAATAAACCATGTAGTTTTAAAGATTTATTTTTTTTATTTATGATATGTAAATAAAATCAAATATAAATAAATTTCAATTACTCTTTTCAAATATGTTTTAGACTAATCAAATAATTAATAGTTTTATCACTAGGCATCATAGGTAATTGCCTAGGGCAGGGATGGCCAACACATAGACCGCGGTCGACCGCAAAGGTTTTGAAAGTAGCCCGCGAAGCTAAAGTTGAACAATTTGCTTTTACTTAAACTAATGTTTAAAAATCTTAATTCGATAATTTATTCTTACAATAATAGACTGACTGTAACGTACCCATAGTGTTTGTATTTATCCCGATGAACAATGCAAATGAATGTTAACGCATGTGCATATAAAAATCCTAAAATTGTTCGCCCATATTCATAGTCGCCCGCAGACTATATTTTACCAAAAAAGTAACCCCTAAGGGATAAAAGTTTGGCCACACCTGGCCTAGGGCATTACAAAAAGAGGAACACCAGCTTTTCATTACTAAAAAAATGAACAGAGAGTAACCATGATTTTTTCTTCTTAACTATTACCTGTAATGAGTCATTATCGTTACTTGTTTGTAATGGTTATGCATTATTTGTATTTATCAAAGTGACACAGTCAGTTCAACAGTCCACAATACATGATACACAATTTGTGATGTTTAATGTCAAATTGTTGTTTTACCATTTATAATGACATGTAATAAACATCAATAAAACAGTGATTGGCACTGCATCTTGTACTGTTTTATTCAGAACGTTGAATCTTTGTTAAATTAAAACATGCACTGATGCACTGAAATATTGCCTAGGGGTGAAATGATTTTAAAACTGGTATATCCTGTTTGCACTGAGCATTTCAATCTAGATTGAGATAAGATCGGCGACTGTGCCAGTGGTGCGACCTCGCCACCATTTCAATCTCGACTGAAACAAGGTTCAATCATGATCAACTTGAGAGTTTTTGAAAATAGATCCAGTCATAAGAGAGTTTCCACAATCCCAAGCGCACGAGAAGAAACAAGATGGCTGTGGAACACATGTCGTGCTATCAACAGAAAAATAAAAAGATGTTTGGAGAGACAATGAGATCTGGCTATTATTAGATATATGGCAAGAAAAACTATTTATTTGTAACCAAAACTTCCATTTTGTTTCTTGGTGTTTGTGACTTATCGAGTAGTTATGTTAGATTTATCATTGCATGCAATAGTAGTAGTAGTAGTAGTAGTTGAAAGGACCATGGCCGAAACACATAGGTATAGCNTCAAAAAGAATAATGTAAAAGGTTAGCGAGTATTGTCGGAAAATAGGCTGCCAGACAAATAGAAAAATTTATTGTTAGCAAATAAGTATGTAAATGAGGGGAGTGATCTCATACAGAATTGTGACGTCACCTCACAGTATAAAAACCGAATCTCAAGTGAAGATGCCTGAGGTGAACTCCAGATAGCAATGAGATTGGTGAGCTTAGTAGCAGTGAACAAGAGAGGTGTCCGATAGGATCAAATAGTTCCAAGGCGATTTTGAAGTTATTCGATTTGTGGATCGACGAATAGAGAAAGTCTTGAGAGTTGAGGAAATAGGTTCCTAGTATATTGAGGTGACAATTAGGATCTTTAATTCATAAGAATTATTGTTTATAAGTTAAGTCTTTGAATTTTGTCGAATTCCAAAGGGGAATAGATTTAAGTTAGAAACTAGATTGATTTGAGTTTTGTCAGGTTGATTCTTGTTGTGTTTCATTGAATAAATTTATGTTTGATTGTTACTAAATTTTGTAAATGGTTTATTACTAGAAATTTATTAAATATTTGATTTGTTATTGACAAACTTGGTCATTATTTAATTTCGGTGCACGCTAAAAGTCCAGGCCTGGCACGCTAACGCGAATCCGCATAAAGTACCCGTTAGGGAACGGCTATATCCAGCACACAGTCATGTCGTTAATCGTTGGAAAGTCGGAAAAATAATATAGTACTTTACATCTTTAATGTTGTATAAATATTTTATAGAAAATTTTCATTAATCATTATTTTGTTTATTTGTCAAGCCCACATTCTTGACTTTGTTGGATAATTGAAGTTTACTGTATTATTAATATATATTAATACGGAAGTATATACATGTATAACTTATTATATTACAAAGATCATTTGGTTATATTATATTATATTTATTTTACATAGAATTTTAGAAAAGCTGTCAGGCAGTTGACTTCCATTTTTATCATTTTTTGGAAAGACCATGTTCATTTTCTAGTTACTATACGAAATATGACAGTTGCAATGATTCTAGTTATGGTTTACTAATAAAAGTTTAGATCATTGATTATGAAGTACAGTTCAATAAAATATAAAAGTTTCTTTTGTTTATTTTAGAGTTATTGAGCAAGATCTTGCACCTTGGATGACATCAGGAATAATGCAAGAAATGTTGGAAGCCGTAAAAGATAGAGGAACTCATTATCAAATTATTAATCATAAATTATATCGTGAAGACGAATGTATGTTTACTTTCAGGTAATATATAATTTAGAACTATATTAAATTTCTTATTAACAGATAAAACGGATTTAAACAATTACATGTATAAATCATTAAACAATAAATTAATTATACATCCGATTATGTATTTTAGATGCACTGGAGTGGAACATTTTATTTTAGAAATTATTCACAAATTACCAGATATGGAATTTATTTTAAATACTAGAGATTGGCCACAAGTTAATAAGCATTGGATGACATATCCTGTATTTTCTTTTAGTAAAGTAAGTCATTTTACTTTTAATTTATCCTGTAAATGTGATCATAGGTAAAGTTATAATGCCACTGAATTATACAAAATATTGTTTAAAAGTCCATAATTTTGTAGGTAAAATTGTAGCTCTGAATTAGATGGTTGGGACCTTATCAGAACTGTAGATCATGCCCATAAAAGTAAAAAAAGTCAAAGGAAGCAATGGTCTACATATGACCCTTCACAAGATAGTGATGAGTCTGGGCTGCTTGTTAAATGTGCAATAGTCTTAACAGAGCATTCATCTTCCAGGGCACAGTTCCATGGAGCCCTGGAAGTAGTTGATGCAATGGTGTTTCTTATGTTTTATGAGGTTTGAACCATCTCTATAAAGTGGAAAACAGTTGATTTTTAGCATTGTTCTGAGAAATTATTCCAGAATTTTTCATTTTCCAGATTCAGGCTGATTCAGGGAGGCTATATCTTGTGAAGAGTTATATGTAGAGCATTGGTTTCTTTGAATATTTTTATGAGCATGGTCTACAGCTATGATAAGGTTCCAACCACCTCATTCAGAGCAGCAATTTTATCATTCTGTGTGGTTTTTTTCCTACCTAAAATTAAAGAAACATTTAATTTTTGTTTAGATTTGTATAGTTTCCAATAAAGTTTTCAATGTACATCTTTTATGATAGACGAATAACATTACTGATTATTTTCAATCTTACATCATTGGAAAACAAGATTTTTTTTTTATTAATTTAGAAATTGTTTGTCGTAATAAAATATTCATTAAAATAAGATTAAAAGTTAAAAGTTTTACTGTATTTTCTGAAAAACTATAAAGTTTTTCATGTCAGTGTGGATGTAGTATTTCTAAGAACAGTAATTTATGACTGAGTCTATACATTAATTCATTTAATGATGCATTTATGTGCATGGATGAGATATTAAAAGTGGGAGTTTAATGAGTGCAGAAAATTATTAAAATAAAAGATCTCTTGGCCTCTAAAGTGCTGAAAATGGATCATGTGAATCCCATAATTAAAACAATTAATTTTATTAGAATTAGAGGACTAAATCACTGCCAATTCACACAATTTTTAAAAGATCTTGATGAAAAATATTTAGATATTCCATACTTTGCAGAAGTACAGTGGTTTAGTCACAGATCAATGCTTAAGCAATTTTTTGAATTGCATAAACATATTGTTACGTTTATGGCTGAAAAGGGCAAACCGATTTAACACAGTGATGAATATGGCTTGACTTTGCATTCTTAATAGGATGATGGAACACTTAAATAATTTGAACGTTAAACTTCAAGGAAAAAAATGTAATTGTTATGAAACTGTACTCAAGTGTTCAAGCTTTCAAAATAAAATTAAAATTGTGGGAGTTGCAGCTACGAGAACAAAAACTTGACCATTTCCCTAGCATTCGTGGGATCGGCATGTACAAAGCAAATAAATTAGCAGATTTTTCTAACCATTTTCTTGATCTTATTGCTGAATTTGATAATTGTTTTGTAAATTTTTGTGAGCTCAGTATGTACGACTTTCCTCTTTTTAACGATCTATTTATGCTCGATGTTGGTAAAGCACCGACTTACTTGCAAATGGAACTAATAGATTTGTAGTGTGATACTGCCTTAAAAAGTAAGTTTAATAATGTTGGCATTTTATACAAAAGTACTTCAAAAATCAAAATAGCTATCCCAACTTAAGGAACCATGCTGCCTACATTTTATGCATGTTTGGAAGTTCATGTGTGTGTGAACAAATGTTTTCAACAGTGAAGATTATTAAATCTAAATACCATTCAAGATTTACAGATGAACATCTTCAGTCCGTTTTGTAAATCAATACAACATCGTTGACATCAAACATCAAGGAGATAATGAAGCGTAAAAGAAGTCACATTTCTGGATCCTCAAAATAATAGAGAGATTGCGGTCGACGTTTTCAATGCGAAAACGTGTATGTCGGACCTTCAGCGCCACCATCCTGTAAGCCTAGAGGTTTGACAATGGCATCTGGAATGTCAAGCATGATTCCACTGACATTCCAAATGCAATTGTCAAACTTCTAGGCTTACAGGATGGCGGCACTGAATGTCCGATGTACACATTTTCGCGTTGAAAACGTCGGCCGCAACCTCTCTAATATTTCGGTTTAATACGTCTCTACTTAAAAAAAAAATTATAACTTTTTTTTAATAAAATCATTTTTTTTTTATATACTTCTCACTTATACTTAGTATTATTACATTTGCATTTTTAATCTGGCCCGCTGTCATACTCGAGACAAAAAATTGGCACTTAAAGAGTTTGAGTTTGACACCCCTGATTTAAATAATATTTACTTCATTTCTTACCATAAACTTAAATATAATTACTGTGTAAGGTATAAATATTCTAAATTAATTACTGTTTTAATTAAAAAACATAGTTAATCTATATTTAATAGATGATACAATGATCTGGATCAACTTGAATCAGTTCATTTTAATTATTGAAGGGAGAATTACTAGAAAATTGGAAGGACATTAAACAAAGTTATGATTACTTTGAAATTTAGAACTAAAATGTTTGATTCAACACTTTGAAATTAAAAAAACAATGACTAATTATTTCATATTTTAGTCAATATAAAATATTCAGTTCATTTTATCATTAGAATAATTTATATTTAAATACTTCTAGACATCTCAATATTTAGATATTATGTATCCAGCATGGACATTCTGGGAAGGTGGACCTGCTATTAGTCTTTATCCAACAGGTCTTGGAAGATGGGATTTACAAAGAAAAATCATTTCTAAGTATGCTTGAATTAATGATTTTATTTAATATACTATATAATATGATCATATATAACTTTGTTTTTTTTATAAATATAGACTTAAATCTTTATGAGAATAAGATGATGTTTAATTATTGTATATGTAATAATGATGAATGTATAAATTTGGTTCCATTTTAAACATTTTATTTTCCAAAAGGTTTCTATACCAAGGCATATAGGAGTAAAACTAGATATTGTCTTCCATGAAAACTTTTAAGTTAAAAGTTTTAACTTAAAATTCTTTTCTAGCAGAGATTTGTAAAAATTGTTTATAGAAAAGTCTATTAATTATAGTTGACTTTACAAAAGTTTATATGCTTTTAACTAGTTCAAATGTATCAATATATCCTTTTAATATTAGAGTCAATAAAACCAGTCTTTTCACTAATTATAGCCTTATTTATTTAAAAATAATAATAATCAGTTATCATCATCAATATAGGTGAGTTCTAAAGTTATTATAATAAGTTGATTTTAATGTACAGTCGACCCCCCTATAACACTATTGATTTTTCCATTTTATATGAATTCCATATTGTACGAGTCACTTAGATTTTACAAATACGTGTGCCGGGCTGTGAACGGCTCATGTATTTGTAAAATCTAAGTGACTCATACAACATGGAATTCATATAAAATGGAAAAATCAACAGTGTTATGGGGGGATCGACTGTATATTTATTGAATTTTCTATAAAAACTAATTAATAAAAAGAAAAAAATGCTCGTGCAAGTGTTGTTTTGGATGATTTAGTTCTAAAGGAAAATTAAATATTACAACACAGCTCCATTATAAGGCAATAAAATTTAGTGAAGAAACTTGAAGTTATTCGTTAAGTTTCGTCAGTAGAAGTAACTTTATTGATGCCAATGGAGATATAAGAAATTAAAATGATATTGGAATCACATTGTTAAATTACCTAGTATTGGACATAACATTAGAATGTACTTTTTAATAGAGTAGTTATGAGTAGTAAAATTTAATTAATAACAGGTCAGTTATTTAGTTACTTCATAATGTAATGAAAAAATAGTATATATTATTTCTATATTAATATTTATTTATCTGTGAATTGGCTAGTAAGTTTCAGAATAATTTTAAGAATGTCTGAAAATTTTAGTTTGCAATTGTTTCTCATTTAACTATAATTAATTTATTTTTGATTCTAGTTATATGAAATGATTGTAATTATATTACAGTAATACCTCGACTTACGCTACCCTGACTTACGCGAACTCAGAGTTACGCGATTTTCAAATCTTGTTGATTCGTCTTTAGTTTGAGCGCCACGCAACTCTCGATTACTCACTCCCCACACTATTGTTCAGCTTAAATGTTCGGACGTGTCGCACGAAATCAACACATAGCTACAATTTATTTTGTGTTACTGATTTCTGTTTGTTATACAGAGACTTGAGAGACTCTATGTGGTGATTTCTTGCAACCGTGAACAAATCAAAAGACAAGATAAGATTAACAAGAACATTTACTAGCTTACATACATCCGACTTGGATTTTACACAAATTGCGAAATTATACCCCGACTTACACGAATTCGACTTACGCGGTTATCGCTCGGTCCCACCTATCGCGTAATTTCGGGGTATTACTGTATATCATTTATTTAAAACTGGTTATTAAGGTCTGCTAAGAAGTGGCCTTGGAAGAAAAAGAAACCTGTAGCATTTTTCCGTGGTTCACGTANAATGAATGAAATGAAATGTAATATAATTACAATCATTTCATATAACTAAATCGCAAAACTCTGGGTTCGCATAAGTCAGGGTAGTGTAAGTCGAGGTATTACTGTAATTATATTACAGTAATACCCAGAGTTTTGCGATTTTCAAATCTTGTTGATTCGTCTTTAGTTTGAGCGCCATGCAACTCTTGATTACTCACTCCCCCCACACTATTGTTCGGCTTAAATGTTCGAACGTGTTGCACAAAATCAACACATAGCTACAATTTATTTTGTGTTATTTATTTCTGTTTGTTATATCTACGGAGACTTGAGAGACTCTATGTGGTAATTTTTTGCAACCGTGAACAAATCAAAAGACGAGATAAGATTAACGAGAACATTTATTAGCTTACATACATCCAACTTGGACTTTACACAAATTGCAAAATTATATTCTGACTTACATGAATTCAACTTACGCAGTTATCGCTCGGTCCCACCTATCGCGTAAGTTCGGGTTATTACTGTATATCATTTATTTAAAACTGGTTATTAAGGTCTGCTAAGAAGTGGCCTTGGAAGAAAAAGAAACCTGTAGCATTTTTCCGTGGTTCACGTACAAGTGCCGAAAGAGATCCTCTGATTCTGTTATCCAGAAGTCATCCTGAATTAGTTGATGCTCAGTATACTAAAAATCAGGCATGGAAGTCTGATAAAGTAAATATATTTGATACTTAATAAAATAACGATATAATTAAATATTCTTAATATTTTTTTTTAAACTAATTTCGATTTGCTTTATCTCAAGGATACATTAGGTGCTAAACCAGCAAAAGAAGTACTTTTGGAGGATCATTGTCAATATAAATATTTATTTAATTTTCGTGGTGTAGCAGCTAGTTTTCGCTTAAAGCATCTTTTTCTCTGCAAATCGCTGGTTTTTCATGTTGGATATGAGTGGTTAGAGTTTTTTTATCCAGCTTTAAAACCATGGGTTCATTACATTCCAGTAAATAAAGATTTGCATAATGTAAAGTGAGTATGATACATTATTTTTTGTGTTGTTATATTACTTTGATTATATAATAACTGAAAATATTAAAATTAGAAAATTTATTTAAAATTTCCCAAAAGAGACAATAGAGAGGTTTCTGCCGACGTTTTCAACACGAAAACGTGTATGTCGGACGTTCAGCGCTGCCTTTCTGTGAGTGTAGAAGTTTGGCAATGGTGTTTGGAATGTCGAGCATGATTCCACTGACTATCCAAACACCATTGTCGAACTTCTATACTCACAGGAAGGCGGCACTGAACGTCTGACGTACACGTTTTTACGTTGAAAACATTGGTCAAACCTTTCTAATATGTAAAAGGTGTCCTTGAACTTTATCTTTTTCACTTGTCAGGAATTTTGAGTTTTTGTTGAAGTACAAATCCATTGACTTACAAATATTAATTATTAATTCAGAAAGTATCGGTTAATAAAATTTTTAATACCTTTAATCTATTACTATAAAATATATCTTGTATTTGTCATCTATCTATAATTTATTTTAATCTATGATTGTGATATATTTTTAGATATATTATTTAAATATATATCCAAATTATTTATTTTATTTAAATAAAAATGAACAGAATACCTTAAAGTCTTGAAAAAAATAAGTGCTTTAAACTTAAGAAGTAATATTTTTATAATAAACATATATAATTTTAATTATAAAAATTACAGTTTGTTCTATTTATATGTTTAAAATGTATCATTTTGATTCCATAAGTTTGGTTTAGAAAATATGTAAAATTTATGTAATTTTAATTGAAATATAATAATAATTATGGTAACTTATTAATAGAGAACTGCTTGATTTTGCAAAAGAAAATGATGTTGAAATGAAGAAGATAGCAGAAAGGTTAGTTTATATAATTATGTTTTAATATTTTATTTAATTATAGAAGAATCTGCTTATTGTGATCATGGATATTATCATCAATTGTCTAATATTATCAAACTGACGTGGTCTAAAGCAATGTTTTTCAACCTGCGGGTCACAAAGCCTTACACGGGGGATCGCGGGTAAAAGAAAAAGACAAGTGTTTGTAGGTCCTACACAACAATAAAAAAAAACCTACAATTTCAGGTAGAAGGCTGTACCTGTTTATTTTACAGTATAATTGGTTTTTTAATTGATAATTAGGTCTCAACAGAAAGAAAATTAAATACAGTACGTAGTTTTTAAAATCACTGTTATAGTTTTAATATGGTCTTGGGGGGTTGCCAGAAGTTTCTAACTTGTAAAGGGGTCGCATATTCAAGAAGGTTGAAAAACACTGGTCTAAAGCATAAAAGTTAAAGTACATTTATAGAATTTAATGCTATCAAGCTTATATATTGGCTTCTAGTTTGAGGACTTATCACATCTTTTGGGGAATGTTTTCAATTGGACACAGCGGGACATTTTTGGGCTATTCTATTGATATTTTATTAAATATGCATTTCGGACAGTTCTGTTCCTCTTCATTTTAAACTACGTACTTTTTGGGTTACGAGTTCTTTTACAGTTATATTATGTTTTTTTAAAAAGAAAAACTACAATAATAATATATCTATATATACAGATATGTTTTGTTACATTGTATAAAAATATACATTTTTGATGGGAATACGTCTTTAAATTTGCTTCCGTAGTGTTAGGCAATTCAGAAAACTGATGATAACAAAATCAGGGGATAGAGTTTGGCATTGCAGCTATGTATCTATCATCTACATCTAAAATTTAATTACACCACTCGATAGTTAAAGAATCAAACAATTCATTATGTTGAGTGGAGACTGTGACGCATCGCGCGTGGCAGAGGGGGAAGCGCTGCCATTTTGAGGTCGTTTCACCGCCTCACATACTTTCCGTTTAGTATACATTTTGACTCAAAGAAGCTATGATGCTCGTTTGAGTTTCAATTTACAGCTCTCATCAGTATTTATCGATTGCGTACACAAAATATAAGTGTGGAATAGTTATGGTGAATATATATGGTTTAAAGTTAAAAATTAAGAAAACTTAATACAATTGGAAAGGGCTTCTCAAGAGTAATCCAATGATACCCATAAAACACCATATGATAGAGTGAAACGGTGCTGGAAACATAAAAATATTACCTATTAACGTACATGTATTCATGTAAAACACACGGTTGTGTCCTCCAACACAGCCACACCCCACAATTCTTTTTTTATTCATTTTTATTGGTTTTTTTTCTGGGATCATTTTTAAGGATATATTAAATCTATAAATATATTTTATAAAATATTACAAAATTGACTACAGTTTATTAAGAATAAAAAAAAAATCTTTTAAATTACTCACTTTCTATAATGGAATTTTTAATCTCAAAAAGCCTATTAGAGAACAGAAACCAAATTGAATACAGAACTCAAATTGAATTTTTAAATGGCCGAGGTTCGAGCATGTATCCTACACAGAGATTCTATATCATAAAAAAAATAATAAACCAGCAACGAGTTGCTCAACTTTCCCAGAAACATTTAAAATTTTGGTGGTGCCATCTGTTATTGTATTTTATTTTAAGAAATTTTTATGTTTTTAACTGTTACAAAATGACAAAAAGCTTAATTTTGAAGGGGAGGAATGAATTTTATAAAAAACTGTAAATTGCGAATCACACCTAAATTCAAACTTTCCAGCAAAATAAAAGTCTAAAAATTATGAAATTCGAACATTTTTGGCCACTAAATTTATCAGCCTTCCTCAGGAAATATAAACTGAAAAAACTGTTCTATAAATAGAACGTAGCTGCCTTGTAAATTTTTAAAAGAACGAAAATGGCTGTGACGTATCGCGTATGACATATATTATGAGTCTAGATGTGTTTCCACGCAGGACGTATATTATGAGTCTAGATAGTGTTTCCACGCAAATAGAGATGAATTTTATTTCCATATTTCTGTCTGTACGGTTGGAACATTACTTCTGCATATTGAGAGATTACTTCCTAAGCTCTATCCCTGAGGCACAATCATAACACTCGCAGTTACTCACTTATTATGCTATTTGTCCAGTTTTCATTTTAACAAGCATATCTACATCCAAAAATGTGGAGTACCCATGAGTTAGCCCCATTTCAGGGGCTCTCTGTGAATTGGTCCTACGACAATTGGAGGAGTGGTCATTAAAAAACATCAAACATAACATTCTGCTTTACACCTGATATATCAATGACATTTTAATTGTATGGAGAAAACATTCTGATATTGGGGAGGTGTTAAAGGTGTTTAATAATAACACCTATGGATTAATGCTAAAGTTGTAATCAGGAAAGCTGTAATAGCATTAATTTCTTAGACATCAAGATTCAAGTAGCTGATAACAAATTCACCACAGCAATTTACTGCAAAGCTACTTATGTCCTCCCCTATTCATACCTTCCAATTCAGCAGACCCATGGTCATATAAGACATTCGCATTCTGCAAACTAGTGGCCAGAGCCTACTCCCATTCTACACATTGTCGGATACCAACAAGGAACTGGAACATCTCAAACAGGTAGCATCCAACCACGGATATGGCCGCACATTTATTGACAATCTGGCATCCAAATATCTAGCTCATTCATCCAACAATGTTAACAAAGCAGAGACAAATCGGGTGGTCTTAGACTACAAACCATCGCTACATCGCATATATAGAAGGATTGCAAATAATTTAAACATACTCCTTACCTATAGAAGGAAACCCAGCATTTTCCGCCTTCTCTCAAATGCAAAGGACGGCATGGAGGACGCTCTGGTTCCTGGGATTTACCACATCCCCCTACATGACGAGAGGTTTGACAGATTACTATCTTACGTAGGATCCACATACAGATCGCTGCAAGCCAGACTAAAGGATCACAAATATGACATGCTAAAAGGTAACATCAATACGGCTTTAGCATGGTATGCCAGCGATCTGAGGATTCCCCCATTGGGACCAGGCCAGGCTAATAATAACATAAATAAATAAATAACACATTTTTTGTTTGGGATTTATAAGCTTACTGTAAAACTTTTTATTGTATTTTGATTTTAAACACAAAATGTAAATCTACAATGAGCTTAATACACAAGGTCTTCGACAGGCAAAGTATTAAAATTTTAGAAGCAGTAGAGATCTACAAGGCGAGAGGAGTGGAACCTGCATCAACACTGATGTCATTCATGTATCATCTGAGTGGAAACACTATCTAGACTCATAATATATGTCATACACGATACGTTACAGCCGTTTTCGTTCTTTTAAAAATTTACAAGGCAGCTACGTTCTATTTATAGAATGGTTTTTTCAGTTTGTATTTCCTGAGGAAGGCTGATAAATTTAGTGGCCGAAAATGTTTGATCTTCATAATTTTGGACTTTTATTTTGCTGGAAAGTTTGAATTTAGATGTGATTCGCGACTCTTCAGTTGCAGTTTATGGTGAGGTCGTATTTAAAACTGTAAATGCTAATAATGAGTAAAATTGTCATTAAATTCGACCCTACTGGAGATACACACAACAATGGGATGTATGGTATAAAAATAAATAAGTACAGTATTACAAGAATAAAGTAATTTTCCGTCAAGGTTTGTTATGATAAGTTACACACATGAAAGTGAACTACATACGCTATCATAAGTATTCAAACTAAATTTACTTACACAAATATGTAATTATTATATCTTTTGGATATGATTACTTGCATCTTTCTTTTCAATTGTCTCATTGATCTTGATACTGTAATATAGAGATCCCTATCATTAAGAGCTCTGCATGGTATAAGATTAAACGCCCTTATAAATCTTCCTTAGATTACTGCTTCCTTATGTGAACTACTGCTTTAAAAAAGCTGTGATATGTCACTCATTTAAACAGACTGTTTTGCTATACAGTGCTCTGTTAACTGGAATCTCACTGTATATAAAATATAAGGGAATATGTTGGAAAGATGGAAGAGTACTCTCTTAGCAAACTGCTCCTTTATCTGGATAATGGACTTAACTATAATGAATAAATCTCCAAGTTATACATTTTTTAATTATTATAACATGTCAATTTAATGTCAGATTTAATATAAACTAGAATTTCCACTTATTTTAGTCTCATTTACTTACCCAATTAATGTTAACATGCATTTATTATTGTCAGTCTTGGCTAGTTTCAAGTGATTACAATAAACAAATTCTGTATTTCTTTAGTAAGGTGCTCCACAAAAGTATAGAACCACTTCAAATTTACTATATGAAGGTTAGGAATTACACATAAGATGTAGCTATCTTTCTTATATTATTCAGGATTTATGAAAACATAATTTGTCAAAACTCATAGTTTCCTATATTGCAGCAAACAGTAGAAATTGTAAAAAAAACCGATTTTAAGCACCATAAAAGTATAGAATCGACTAGTAAATTAATGCAAAAAGAATTATATACTATAAAATAGTTTAATTTAGTAATTTATTTGCATACCACCTTCACTGATAACATCGAAAATGCAATTTGGCATGCTATCAACAAGGTTTTTTATGATTGATGCCTCAAGGCAGTTCTAAGCAGTGACAATTGCTTGTTTTAAGTGTTCAACGTCGGCATATAGATGATTTTGGTCATAAATTTGGTCAACCAAGATCCCCCAAATGTTTATTTATAGGGTTGCAATCAGGAGAACAAACTGCCCAATTTATTTATTTTCAAACCACTGTTTTATATCTTGTGATACGTGGCTAGATGCATTGTCCTATTGAAAAATAAGAGAAATTTTTCTGAATCTATGTTTGTATGGCAGCAATTTGTTCTTTAGAACTTGATAGTCGACACAGTTAATGTGACAGGTAACGAATGCCAAATCTGATTTTCTCAATGCAGGAAAAGCACCCCAAACCATAATACTCCCACCACCAAAGTTCATTTGCGTAAAGTACTTGGCTTTTTTTGTAAATTACACCAATAGAACCAATAAAACCAATAGAACCAATAAAAATTACACCAATAGAATGCTAAGCCACCTGGCCCATTGAAATTAAACTTTTTTTGTCCAAATAAAGATTATCTATACAACAAAAAAATTGCTATTTCATGTGCTAGCACGATAGGTCTAAATGAAACAAAAAGCTTGCCTTATTCCATTGAATGGCCATATTAAAATAAACAAACACCTTTCTCTATTCCAGCACACTTTTAATGCGTTGAAAAACGTTTTCGATCGTTTTAATTGATCATCATCAGTTCAAAATTCGAACTATACAACAAACAAAGTATTCGAAAAAATAGAAAAAATTTCACGTCGCTTATTTACAAATTAACGCTAAAGCTCATGCGCGTACTTATAAAACTTATAGATTAAACCTAAGTAATTACAGGTATACCTCGACTTACGTCGTTTCGAGTTACGTCGTTCCCGATTATACGTCGTTTGTCAAAAAAGTATATGGAAAAATAAAAATCAAGTTTAAGTNATTAGAGAGGTTGCGGCCGAAGTTTTCATCTGTAAAACGTGAACGTCGAACGTCGAGCGCCGCTATCTTGTAAGCGGCACTCGACGTTCGACGTTCACGTTTTAAAGATGAAAACTTCGGCCGCAACCTCGCTATTGTAAACAATACATAAATTTTTGATTGATTATTTTATGACGTGCTATACACATGGTCTTAAAACGAATTACAGTAGTTAGAAAACAAATGACTATTAAGTTTAACAAATTTAGATTTTTACAGCTATGATGATATGCTAAAGATATATGCACTTATGTTCAAAAAATAAGCATAATTGTCTAATCTGTAGATAAGAGTCCAGGTATGGTTTACAAAATGATTAGGATCCATAGAGAATGGGAAACTGATATAACAGTCCCATGAGCGTAACGGAAAAAGACCATTTTGTAGGTAGTGGTATAATGGTCAATGGCAACATTATACTTAAACTCTTTTCGCCCTGTGGACACTAAGAGGGTTTCACATAGTGCTAAACTTATTAATGGCTTTATGGACAGTGAAGATATTTGCTACATGAAATTCGTATGTGGAGGTGCTCTAGCCTTTCACTGAGAACACTCCAAGATCTTCAAGGTGCTATTGTTCAAGAATGAATTTTGCTTCCAGCAGAGCTTATAAACACCATTATAACCAGCATGAGAAATTGCTATTCATCATGTGTGCATGCGGAAGGGAACCACATTCCATATTAATCATTTTCTTTTGCAAAAAGGATTAACAACAATGCTTAGTATCTTTTCTCATTATATTTGGTTTGGTATAATTTAGATAAAATTTTTTCTTCTCAATTGTTTTTGTTGCATAAAGAATACAATTTTCTGCTTGTATGTTATGTTTCATGCTGTTCTGGTCAGCAGTTCTTGAGATAATCCAAATTATTGGTTTTGCTTATCTTTTGGAAATGAGTATATATTACAGTAAAAAAACCTTTGATTTATATAATCTTTAAGCATTTGTCTGTCTCCTTCAATCATTAATAATAATTAACACGATTAGAGAGAAAGGTGCTTGTTTATTTTATTTAATATTTCCAGTAAGCATTTAGTTATTTATTTAATGGCCATATTTTTCCTAGCAAAGTTGAGTTGGACAGGTTTGTGTTCAGGCTTAAGAGCAGGAGCACTTCTCATTCAAGACTGAACAATGATGACATTGCCATGTAAACGTCATCATTCAAACGGTTTCGTGATGTACTTGAATTCTCAAATTTTACATGCGTGTATGCTGTGGAATTAGAAGCTGCATTAATAATTCATCTGCGGTCTTGCAGGGTAAGCTTTGAAGGACATCCACTTCTACGCTTTGGTCCATAATTTGCTGGATTTGACAAATAATGCTGAATGACCTTTTTTGAATGTTTGACGCTGTTTGCTGCTTTCTGATGACTTAAACCAGTACTTCTCAAAGCACCAATTTGTGCTTTCTTAAAATCTGTTAAATGTGTACCACGAGGCATGACGAAAGAAAATACTTTCACACTTCAAACTTGTGAGGAAGATGGCAGTTCTATACTTATGTGGCGGTATGTAAATTGACTTCCGTGTTATTTCACAGTCAGCTACGAATTAGTTTCCTAAAATTATGTTCTTATAAGTTAGGTGCTGAATTACACATAAAAAAATCTATTTCTATCTTTTAGTGCATGTTCTGACCTTAAAAGACCAATTTTTTGAGCGGTTTTATACTCTTGTGGGGCACCTTATAATAATTTTTTATATTTAAACCTAAAAACAATTATTTTTTTGTAATTTGTATAGGGGATATAACTTCATTTGGGACCATTTACAAATGGAAGATATATCATGCTATTGGTATGAACTTCTAAAACAATATAGTAAGTTATTAAAATATAAACCAAAGAGAAATCCTAATTATAAACAGATTCAAACAATGAAGAAAAATAAATAATGATTATAATTTTATAAAAAAATTTATATTTTATATTTCTTGTAATATTTTTAATATAAAAATTCACGAATGATGTTATTATTTGGAGTAAATTATTGTAATATTTCTAAATTTACAATATAAATCCAATCACTAGCATGCATACAGGTAATAAAGTATAAAGATTATGTAATTAAAAATTATAAAAATTAATCTTTAAATGTTTTTATTAGCAAATTATTATTTTATTTTTATTAATAACTTAATAATAATATAGAATAATATTTTGCATCTGTAAAATTTGTAAACTAAAAAGATTTAACTTGTAAAATTATGCGCCGTTAAGAATGGGCATAATTTTTGTGATCCGATCAGCCTTATATTCTTTCATTATTTTTTAATACTAATACGTATTTTGGAATATCTATAAAACGGTCAAAAATAATGTTGTACGCACTTTCTATAATTAAAACATTTATATATTGCATTACACGTCTTTGTAAAAACTACTAAATAATTATTTAGCAAGAAATTAATGTTTTCTTATAAGTAACGTACTTATGTTTAATTCCATTGCATTCTATATACATAAATTATTTGTTTAGTAATGATATTTTATGTACCGATTCATCTTTTAAATGGTTTATACATCTATGTAAAGTATTGCAAGCTAATAACTTGAGAACATCTTGACTGATGCAAACTGCTATCTTTCATGTTATTTTGGTTTGAAACGAGGTTTGTGACAATGATAAAAATTGTCATTCCTTGACCTCTCGTACAGGAACGGGACAACTTATAAATTTCAAGTGAATCTCTAGGGAAGTGTGTAATTTTGGATTCTGCAGAAAAAGATAACAAACTTTCATCTAAAACATTATTCTATAACTTGCATTTATTAAAAGTTATGGACAGTTGAAGCTCTGAGTTGGTTCGAATTGTTCAGTCCCTGCTCTCCGATTGCATGTTCAATTATAAGAAAATGTATACTAAATCTGAGAAAAAAATGCAATTTGAGCAAGATGATGTTCCGCACATTTCGACACGGATACGCATACCCTATTAAATCAGGAATTTGGTGACGTATAGATAGCCCATGGAGGACTCTTTCAATGGCTCTCTTATTTGCCTGATCTCACACTGTCCGGTCAACAATTTATATCAACCGAAAGCTTAAACTGTTGGTAACTTTTAATAGATACAAGTTATAAAAAAAATGCTTTAATGAAAGTTTATTTCCTTTTTCTGTAGAATTCAAAAATATACACTTTTTCTTTAAAGTTTGAAATTATAAAGATGTTTCCTGTTTCTTATGAAATAGGATAAGGAGCGACATAATGTTATCGTTACAAAGCTCGTCTGAATATAGTTTATATTGATCAAATTGTCCTCAAGTTATTTGCTTGTAATACTTTACGTCCTTGTATATAAGCATTTAAAGTTTTCTTCGAGTTATACTAAATATTTTTTCTGTTGTCATACATTATAAAATAAATATTTATTTTATAATAAATGTATTATTTAGTTTTAATATAAAATTGAGTAAAACATTAACAATTAAATGTTGTTCTATATTTTTATATAAATGTATTGCAGAACTTCATATTGACAAATTTGTTAGGAATTATTGTCCAGAATTTCTAGTTGGATAGGAAAATAAATGAAGTATTTAGGATATTTACAAAATTTCAAATTTTTGAAATAATAATAATAATAAAAAAATTATAACATCTTTAATAAATTAATGTTTTTAAATATTTTTTTGAGATTAGACTGCTTATCATCAATAAAAGGTTATGCTAAAGATATATGCACTTATGTTCAAAAAATAAGCATAATTGTCTAATCCGTAAATAAGAGTCCAGGTATGGTTTACAAAATGATTAGGATCCATAGAGAATGGGAAACTGATATAACAGTCCCATGAGCGTAACGGAAAAAGACCATTTTGTAGGTAGTGGTATAATGGTCAATGGCAACATTATACTTAAACTCTTTTCGCCCTGTGGACACTAAGAGGGTTTCACATAGTGCTAAACTTATTAATGGCTTTATGGACAGTGAAGATATTTGCTACATGAAATTCGTATGTGGAGGTGCTCTAGCCTTTCACTGAGAACACTCCAAGATCTTCAAGGTGCTATTGTTCAAGAATGAATTTTGCTTCCAGCAGAGCTTATAAACACCATTATAACCAGCATGAGAAATTGCTATTCATCATGTGTGCATGCGGAAGGGAACCACATTCCATATTAATCATTTTCTTTTGCAAAAAGGATTAACAACAATGCTTAGTATCTTTTCTCATTATATTTGGTTTGGTATAATTTAGATAAAATTTTTTCTTCTCAATTGTTTTTGTTGCATAAAGAATACAATTTTCTGCTTGTATGTTATGTTTCATGCTGTTCTGGTCAGCAGTTCTTGAGATAATCCAAATTATTGGTTTTGCTTATCTTTTGGAAATGAGTATATATTACAGTAAAAAAAAGCTTTGATTTATATAATCTTTAAGCATTTGTCTGTCTCCTTCAATCATTAATAATAATTAACACAAGTTTAATTTTCTTTGCTTCATATTTTGTATAAATTTTCATATTACATTTGGAATTGTAACAATTGTAAGCCAATTCTGTTATAGTTCAAGATATTATTATAGTTTTTTTTGTCATTGTTTTTAAATATAAAAATTTATTTTCAAAAATTTAATAGGTTGTATTGTAAAATATACAAAAATAAACTGATATTGGCTGAGTGATAAAACTCAGTTATGGCAGTTCTATCTGTATTTTTCACAAGTTTTAATGCTAGAAAACACATGAGAAACTTAAATAATTTTATTATTACTATATATATTAAACGTTTTAAATTTAATATATTAAAACACTTTCATTTTTTTTCTCTTCAAGCATTTGTTGCATCTGATCAGGGCTATTTCAAGCCCTTTTGGTGTCTCCAGCTTGAGGTTCTTTAGAGGCATTATACAATTACAGATCTACAACAAAAATATTAGTAATAAGTAGTGAGATGAGGTACCAGATATGCTCATGCCTTAATGCAGCATTGTGTCTGCGCTGCCTTTACTATTACTATCAGTGGCGTGCCGTCATTAGAAGCGTTGGAAGCGCCGCTTCCCTCATATTTTCTAAAAAATAAATAAATATTAATTTTAATTATATGAAAATAATCGCACAATATTTTATTATAACCGCATTATGTATCTTATTACAAATTTCTATACTACACGTGGAAAAAAACAAAACAAAAAATTGCTATTGTATATTAGAATATTAGTGACGGAGTGTAATCTCCTGTATTTTCAGATTACGAAAAGCAAGATTTGCGCATGCGCTTTACAGAACACCAACCTCACCCGGTGTAGCCGGTGGAAGCCTACGACCTTGGGTGAAAGCTGCACACATATAAGATTACAACTCTGTCAAGGACCGGTTCTGGGCTGTTAGCCGCCTGCCCACTAGATATTTCGATTACGTGAATAACGAGTAGATTTATAACTTAACCCAACCGATAAGAATTTACTGGTATGTTTTTACGATAGTTCTGTATAGTTGACAGGAGTTTAAAAAATCCATTAAAATATTTGATATATTTATTCCGCTCTCCGATTTTATATTACTCACGGATTTCGATGTTAAACCAGTGATATTACGATTTCGTACATCCCATCTTTAAGGGGATGTAGAAAAAAACGTGTACAATTCTTGTATAATGTTAAAAAATTAACCGTTACTTCGACAGCGTCATTTACAACTAAATTTAATGAATGAGAGAGATGCACCAGGTACAGAAAAGGCTCTAGAATTTATTTTCCTTAAATTTACGATTTATGTATCCGTTGTCGTAAAAATTTGTCTTTCCACTTTTTTCCCGAGACTACAAATATTCGAGTACAAAGTAACTGGTTTCGACTTATTTCTACTTAAGAAGTAGTTAAATAATTAAGCGATTAGGGAATTGGGGACGTAAACAAAACCCTGATGAAAGAGCCGGAATTTTACTTAAACAAAAGCCTAACCGGACCAATATCTAGCCGAGTACAGTGGGACTGATTTCTTCGTAATATTAGATGTAATAAAGACAGAAATTTTTCCAGTTCAATGAAAGTGAGTAAAAGTTGTAAATTTTGGAAATTTCCGTGGACACCTGGTCTTAAAACGAATTACAGTAGTTAGAAAACAAATGACTTTTAAGTTTAACAAATTTAGATTTTTACAGCTATGATGAGAAACGTTTAAAATTTACAACAACCCTGTCGCGTCCTTTGAGATATACTAGTGATGAGACAAAAGAGACATTAACCGGTATCGGCACCCTCGGGATTTGGCAAGCATGCACCGCACCGCACACCTACCAAGACCGTCTCTGATTCCATCCACGAGCCACTGGTAGGGAGCAATTTTAACTAGGTGGATTGTTTTAATATTTAAAAAGTAAAGACTATTTTATGTTATTTTTATGTACGTTTCTTCACAAAACTATATTTATAATTTTCTTTAAAAGTATATTCATACAATTGAATATTTTGTACCAGGTATGTATAATTGTATATCATCACACATTTTATTTTAACAAGTAAGTTTTTATAATTTTATTTTTAATTTTAGCCCTTATATTATAGCTAGCAATTTAGAATGTAATTGTGATATCGAAAATTTATTTCAAAAAGTTTTGGCTCGAGACCATATAATGAAAAAGAAAAAATTTGTTCGACATTTTCATGATAAAATTTATGAAGATATAAAATGGCTTTGTGGATGCATAAAAATGCAAAATTTGTTTTGTTGGCCTTGCCTACTATTTTCAAATAAAATTAGTGTGTAGAATGAGATTGGCTTTGACGATTTAAATAATTTGAGTAAAGCTGGCAAAAGACACGAAAATCCTAAATCTCGCATCGATTCTTTCGTAAAATTGAAGCAATTTGGAAATCAAAATAGAATAGAATTTAACATTAGTACACAATATAAAATATATATTGAAAATTATAACGAGATAGTTACGGCTAATAGATATATTTTAATTAGTAAATGTTATCGATGCGAGAATTGGCATTTAGAGGGCTATAGAATCTATTAAATCTAATATAACAGAGTTAATTATATTGAACTTGCTTATTTATTAAGTGCGTTAGATAATCTATTAATTAAAAATACATTTAGAAAAGTCTACGGTTTTTACTGGCTTATCGAACAAACGAATATGAATGGACCGTAGACCATTGCTGACTGATTGCCCCTGGAAGTCGGCTTCTTATAGAAACACAGCTTCCCTATCATCAAATGTCACGGCACGCCACTGATTACTATGTGAGGTAATTGTTGGAAATTAGACCTAATTTGCGAAGAAATGAATAGTGTTAATAATGTACATAGAAGCATAGATGAATTTCGACGTAAATGGTCCATTATGTTGTATATAACGACGTCTATTTACGATATTTTCGGTTACGACAAGTTTTTGTGAATACCAAATTTTGTCGTAACTTACGACAAACTTTCGTCGTAAGTTGCGATACGACGCTTTCGTAAATCCAGTCCCTGATTTGTCTTAAATAGAAGTTTGAATAGTCAAAATAGAAAGGTATAGACATCAAATATCGCACTAGTTAATACAGTACTAAACACTATTTCTATTTACTAATATATGTACGAGTATACATGGGCACGCTGGACAGTTGCTAGGGCCCCACTGCTCCTGTCTAAGTATTGTTTTGTGAGTAATCCTAAACAATGGAGTGTGGAAAAGGCTTTACCGATGATTTTATTTTCTTAGTAGTAAGGTTTCTTTAGCATTATATAAGTAGTAATGTTTATTTTTCAATATTTTTAGTGCACATGCTAAGGAAACCTATCTTAAGTACACAGGTTTAATACTTAAGTATTGAAATAAACCAAGATTTGAATACAGTTTTGTTGTTTACACATTAGTACAAATCTCCAAAGATTTAAGAAAGATGATTTCATTCAAGAAATATTTCACTTCTGCGTTTAAATTTGATAAAAAGAAAGTCGAAAGTCTGTTGTTGAAGTTTCCGAATCTTTGATCTGAAATGTAAACATCGAAAAAAAAAAATATACTTAAATTGCAATTATAATAGATAATTATTTATTTAAGAAATAAATATTTTTCCTAAACAAATCAGTCAATTGGTTCGAATATTATAACAAAGATAAATGTAAACGGTTACTTTATTTTAAATTGGGTTAATGAAATCTCTGTATAATTTTCCATTTAATGTTTCTTATAAAAGAAAATTTTACAGTTATCCACAAGTTTCCAGAACGTATTTTGAATTCTTCACAAGAGAACGTATGTCTTGGCATCCATTACTGGTCTGCAATTTTTAGTTTTTCATCGGTGGCATTGCTTTATAAAACCAGTTCAGGTAGATATTGTTGTACAGTGTTTGGCTGCTATAATGGCTAGACGTTTCTTTATAAGTTGTTTGAAGATGTACAGTACATACGTGGTGCATGGAGATTGTCTGTGCCAGTTACATTCATTTCCACGTGATGAAAATTTAAGAAGAGAATAGGTAACCAGCCGTATATACGTACAGATAAATAAATTTGCCATCATAAGACACACACAAGTCTATACAGGATAATTATTTGCAGTTAGGGTTTGTGATGACTCTACATATGTCGGCGCGATGGTAAGGCGAAAAATGCATGAACCTTATCTGGGTTCTTGTAGATACACGAAGAGAATTTGGCATGAATTTTATTTATATACAGTAAAACCTGTCTAAAGCGGAACCTTAATAAAACGGAACTTGTCTAAACGGAAAAATTCTTAGGAACGCGGTGATTTTCTATGTTAAAAAACCTTCTAAACCGGAAAAATATTTCGGTTCCTACGAGTCCGCTTACACAGGTTTCACCGTATAAACAAAATTTCTGCCCTATCTAATTTAAGAATTAAATAATAAAGTACAAAGAAAGAAACTATTCATTGAATTTATGACCTTTATTAATTTATTACAGGTGAATAACTACATAAATATTAGAGAGGTTGCGGCCGAAGTTTTCATCTGTAAAACGTGAACGTCGAACGTCGAGCGCCGCTATCTTGTAAGCGGCACTCGACGTTCGACGTTTACGTTTTAAAGATGAAAACTTCGGCCGCAACCTCGCTATTGTAAACAATACATAAATTTTTGATTGATTATTTTATGACGTGCTATACGGGAAACCTTTTAAGTTCATTTGTATCCTTTAATAGATTACCGGAACATTTTTAGCTTTGATGCATCCTATTAGTTTTCCTGAAGGATCATACGCTTTAATTCGGACAGTTACTTTAATACTCGTAAACTATATTTAAAAAAAATAATATCTGTTGAAGCAATCACGATTAAAAGCATGTATGACATTGCTATATAATTTTATCTACAAGCAATTTACAATATATAAAAATAAATGGTACACGTTACCCAAATTGGTGATGCTGGCATTTTAGCTACAAAGTTACGAATTTTATAATATCCAGGATGAAATGGGCATTTGCAAGGATGGCCATCAACCAAACAGATTATAGCACCTTGGCTCGCTAGTTTGCAGATATCGAAGCTGTTAATAAGGAAATGAGTCAAAATTTCAAATTAAATTGATTATATTAACAGAAGGAGAATACTCACCAAAGCAATTTGTTGTTATAACAAGAATAGGTAAGAAAATAGTAACTGATACTGACTTCTATTTTGGTACCTTCTTCTACTTTCATCAAAGATAACGCATCGAATTCTAAAGTTATATTACTTCCAGCTTTTACAGGGAGTCCTTTGATGTTTACGTTACTTAGAGAGAAATTATGTGCAGTAGTATCTGTAATTGTTCTAAATTCATAAATATATGACTGAAATTAATAAATAATCATTTAAAGATCTACTTACAACAGTCTTGTAAATCAAGTTTCGATGCCTGAATCAATGAGGATGACGCGAAGATTAAAGAGACTAAAATAATATATATCATGTTTTATTATTTTAAATAATGTTAATGACAAGTTAAATCCATCCTTTAATTGATACAGCAAAATTATCTTTAAAAAGGTTTGTTTAAAATATCGCTATTCAGCAATAATTGAAGTTTTGTGATGACGTTTCATATAATAGTTTATTAATCGATAAATAATAAGGAAGTATTTTGATAGATGATATAGACCTGTAGTTTTTTCTACACTTCGTAAATGCATATATATATATATATCTTTATAGATTATCATTCAGAAGTTAACTACTAATAATTTAACGAATTTGCATGTTTTAACAATATAAATTAAGCGTACAAAGTTATGATTTTAGACATATGAAGCTTAGATTATAGAATTATATACATGATTTTGATTTATTGTTAAAAGGATTAAAATTAGACGATGAAAAATTTTATTTAAAATAAACGAAAAGCGTTTGTCCATAAACCGCGTGTCCCGTTTTAGTCAAGGTCTGGAACGTTACATTACGGGGCGGCCATTTTGGGTCATTTTGATTAGTGCAGGTTTTAAACAAACTTGCACGAGAAGTTAGTTTTATATGATATTAAATATTATACAAAACCAGTGGGGTTCCAGTCTAATAATAATAATTTCGGATGATTGTTGTTTCATAATTTTTTGTAACTTGAAAATGGTTTAAAAGAAAGAGCATCTTTATCATTTGCTGTTTTGATTGAAACTAATCAAATTAGTAGTTGCATTAGTTCTATCACCTATGGAGGCATTCCTGGTGCAATAATATCAAAGAAAAGTCAATGGAACCATACCTCTATATGTGATACTACGCCTCCGAAATCAGCGTTCTACCTACTTCCAGGTGCTATACGGAGTCACGTTGCGTGTTCCACTAAACCTATCGACGGTTCAGTACAGTGATCAGACAAGCTAACGATATTCATCGATAAAGAATAAAAAGTCCGACATGCTACCCTTTTCCAGATATTCGCGTCCAAATATAGAAACCCAAAGACAGCAGTTCCGGTCGCCATCTTGCTTGTGGACGTCAAGCTACAAGAAAGTTAAGTTATATGCTTCTTGCTCCACTGTACATGCATGTAGTCATGCACTTCGGTGCTCGCTATCGCTCGCACCTAGGCACCCAGGTAGCGCTCGCTCCACCTCCTAAAACTATATAACATGAAGAATCCCATGAACAGTCAAGTGGGCTACTCGAAGCCGGCGTAGTCGCATGGACTAAATAATTAAACGCGATAGTCTAAGCGGAGCGCGCGGTCGCGTGGGGCTGAATTCTGGGGTCTATATCTCGCAAAGGGTCACATGTAGAGGTATGGTTCCTTTGAGTTTTTTGCTCCTATGGACATGCTCTATGGCTCTGTTAAGGTCCGAACAGTGTCATTCACATTTATAATTGTGCTCAGTTTAGAATGTTCAGTTCACTGTCATTTATCTCGTTTGCAGTTCTGCACCCATTATATGCAGGAAATCTAAATAATATAACATCCGAAGATTTATTTTTACAATTTAGCGCCACACAATAACCCGTTCTTTCACGTTTTGAGCATTTAAATATAGCCGACTCACACGTGTGGAGGTATACTCTATCGATAAGCCCCAAAATGGCAGCTGCCGCAAAAGATTAGGGGATCGTGTCCCGACCCATATAGTCCTTGGTTTTAATTAAACAGTTTCCCAAATGTGATTTTTGGAAAATCCTGAAATACCACGTGGAAATTTCAAGACTCCCACTTTTTGAAAAAGTTACATTTTGTCATCGAAACCAAATACAGTAGCGGAAATGGAAGTTTAGTAGAATACGTTGGCCAAAATTATATTCTAAAAGTATTCAAATGTGTAATTAAACTAGAATATATGGGCATTAAAACAATACCCATGAGTTACACTTTTTCCCAAATAGGTTCCAACGTGTCTCGTGGATATTGGCTCGCCCGCTTCTCATTGTTAAAACACCGATATCTTTTTGTTATTCGTTCTACACCACCTTACGGTTTTTCCCGCCACACAGAATCTCGTGGCATCGTGAACTCCCGGTAAATTTTCGAGTTACGATACGAGTTAGTGACGTGTAACTCGTATCGTAACTCGATAGAACACGTGTCACAGTTACGATTAGCGTAACCGTGACACGTGTTCTATCACTATTTTCGTGTACCGCGAGCACATATCATCCTGTACAAGTTTCAACGGATTCCTTGCTTTCCACGCTCCCGATATCAGTTCATCAAGTTACTGTATAAACATTATAAACACCGGAATTCAGTGGCCAAGAGGTTCTATTCCCTGAACACTGGGAGTTCGGCTGTGGGTTCGCGCCTCGCCAGAACGGGCTGGCCAACTGGAGTTTTCTCCACGTCTAAATAAGGGTCAGTTACCTTTAAAAAGACCTCCCGGAAGGAATTTTTCCTAGGCAGATCGCCTAAGTGTTGCATTGACATAACTTAAAGCAAACAAACACAAACTGCATTTAATCATAACGTTTGTTTGATTATGGCAATACAACACTCGGCGATCTGCCGGGAGCAATGCTTTCCGGGAGGCCTTTTTAAGGGAAACTGGTCCCTATTTATGCGTTACAGACGTGGAGAAAACCCGGAGAACTCCACGTGGCCAGCCTGTCCGAGCGAGGCGCGAACCTACAACCGAACTCTCAGTGTTCGGGGTACGAAGACCACTTGGCCACTGGTGAACGTTTAAAGCTACGAAAATAATTAAATAAGGCTATAGTTGTAGAACAAAATAACTTTTTAGAAAATGTTATCATCTTTATGAACAAGATGTTTTTCAAGTTAAGCTATTATTAATTTAAAATCTTAACTTTAAGATTACAACACCTATAGATAAAATACTGATATATACATCTTTAATTTCAGGAGAAATTAAATATATCTCTTGAGATATATAATCGGACCCTATCAGAGAAGAGGCCAGGAGTATCATTTGGTCCGGGCCTCACAGTTACGGGTGCCTCAAAAGCATTTATTACAATTATTCTGAGACCCAGTACTATAACTTGTTTTTCGTGTACCCCCAAAAAATATGATAGAAAGGGTGGCTATTTGTTTAATCTTTGATTAAAACCATTACGAAATCGTCCCCAACGGCATAAAAGTTTAAAATTCGAAAATAAAATTATAACACTGGCTAATTTTTAATATTTTAGGACCGACTTTGTCCTGGACACCGTGCCTCTGCATAGTTAATTAAGGCACTAGTGAGCGGAGTCACGTTGCGTGTTCCACTAAACCTATCGACGGTTCAGTACAGTGATCAGACAAGCTAACGATATTCATCGATAAAGAATAAAAAGTCCGACATGCTACCCTTTTCCAGATATTCGCGTCCAAATATAGAAACCCAAAGACAGCAGTTCCGGTCGCCATCNATCGTCATTTTATGAATTTATCTAAAAAATGAAAAATTAAATTTGAAACTATTTAAGAGTAAAATGTAGATTAAAGTATAAGATTTTCATAATTTTACGGAATAAAGAAGAATAAAGTACCACTGTCGTCAGTCCGTCTGTTCTTCCTTAACGCTTTCGTCTCTATATTATCTCATAATTCTTTACATAAATACATAGCTAATGGCTTCGGAAGACGATACAGTTCTTTAAAATTGCATATAATTTAACTGGAAAGTATTAACTCCAAGTAGAAACTAAAATTAACGACGTCGAATGCTAATACACNCAAACGAAACGTCATAAAAACATCTGTTAAAATTGACACCAAATGTTGATTTTTACAGAATAAAAATATATAAAAGAAGCTGATACGTGAAAGTATCTGCTAGAAGTTGGGTAGACATTAATTGATAATACAGTATTCACAGTTACTGTTAGAAGGTAAGAATGATAAGATTTGTTATAATACAGTTAGCTTTTCTGACTGTAGCTCTTGCAGAAAATATTGTCACACACAACTGCTGTAAGTATCGAATTCTCCTTTATTTTTAATTATTTTTTTTTTACATTTGATTTCAATAATAATCAAGAAATGCTATTGTAGCTTCAGCAGCACAGAATTTCTCCATAAGTCATTTAAGTGTCGATCACTTACCCATAAAAATTGGAAATAATGTAACTATAAATTTCGATGCCAAATCTTTAATGAATGTTCAAGAAGGCACCAAAGTAGAAGTCAGTGTTACGTATATACTTTTCACACTTTCTTGCTCGAATTATGAAAAATTCTGGTGTGTATTGCTTTATTTCATCAATAAATTTTCGATAAAATCAATTTTTAATATAATTTTTTTTTTTACTTTTAAACAGTTTCGATGTTTGTAAAATAGTAAAAGAAGGTTCTGTTGATTGCTTAATTAATGGCCAACCTTGTAAACAGTGTCCTATCAAACCTGGAAATGTACAGGTTCGACGTCTTGTAGTTGAGACCCCAAGTGTGCCACTGGTAATTATATTTTAAGGTTTAATTTAGTTTAGTTTTTATTCGCGATCAACTGAGGGATGACATTCGGGTGGTCTTTTATGGGAAATTGGCCCTTATTTAGGTGTTACTAATAAAGAAAACTTGGAAAACTCCACTTAATTAGCAGTTGAACATGAGTGAACCCAGGACCACAACTACTAGTATTCAGTGGTTTTTTTTTAATCCACTCGGCTAGTAGTGGGCACAAATTTAATAATATAAATCTTAAAGAACTGATTCAAAATTAACAGGAAAATCTTAAAACTTTTAGTTAAATACAGTCGACCCCCCTATAACATTGTTGATAATTCCGTGTTATATGAATTCCATGTTGTACGAGTCACTTAGATTTTACAAATACATGAGCCGTTCACAGCCCGGCACTCGTATATGTAAAATCTAAGTGACTCGTACAACACGGAATTCATATAACACGGAATTATCAACAGTGTTATAGGAGGGTCAACTGTAAAATCATTGAATTCAATAGGTTTACACATGACCGACAGACTGGCTAAGATGGATTTACCGGATTTTCTTTATGAAGGGCCAGTTTCTTGTGTAAAGTCCTCCCGGGTGGCATTAACTTTTGAAGATTGCCCATGTGTTACGTTGTCTTATCCTATCATATGTATTAATGAAAAAGTTTAGATTTATGGCTTAAAATTCGAAATTTGTCCGTTACTTAGAATAGTGTATTTAATACTTCCCTTTAATTCTATTCCAATTTTATACATATAATACTGTATCACTAATATGGTTAGTTGTGAAACATCAAAAATGCTGATGATATAATGTTATTTTTCAGTTACCTGATGCGAAGGTAACAATAACAGTGCAAGCATTCGATCCTAAAGGAAATTTATTGGGGTGCGTGAAAGCTGACAATGTTCCAGTATCGAAATAAAATATCTGTACGAGATCTTCTGCTGTACAAAATAAAATTTTAAGTATAGAAATTGTTTTCATTGTATTGTTTACTGTAAAAAACCAGTACGCTTATAAATTATATATTTCTTGATACATTAGAGCAGGGGTCCACGACCTTTTTGTACCTAAGAGCACATTTTAGAATAGCGGTCGGACGGCGGGCACCATTTATTTTTTTAATGTGAATTTATAGTTGGACATAGTTAATAATACATACACATAATGTACCAAAAAAAACGTTTAATTCTAAAAATGTAATTTAACATATATAAAAGTCAGTGGCGTGCCGTGACATTTGATGATAGGGAAGCTGTGTTTCTGTAAGAAGACGATATCCAGGGGCAATCAGTCAAATGAGCGTCAGTGATGGTCTAGGGCAGGCAATAATTTGGGAAGAGACTATAAAGATATGGCAGCAACAATGGGATCAAAACAGTTCCCATATCACCTATAAATTTATTCCAGATTTGAAACACTTTTATTCAATTAAGTATTTTTATCCTAGTCACATCACAAGTCAAATATTTACCAACCATGGAAAATTTGCCTCATATTTAACTCGATTTACATCTAGAAATGACGATACTTGTCCTACTTGTCATATAACTGACGGTTCAGAACACTATTTCTACGACTGTGTTATGTTCTGCAGAGAGAGATTGGAAATGAGGATCTTTATGGACGAACAAGGCATTAACTGGCCATGCAAACTTTCTGATATATGGGCTAATCAGGACATTTACAATGCCTTTAATAAACTAGCAGATAGCATCTATAAGATTACAAATCAGATTATACGTAACTAAGAGTATTATAAGTTTATTAGTTTCATTTAAACTTTAATGAGTATACTTTACTATGTACTTAACGTTGTATGTACTGATATTTTATTTTACAATAAGGGTATGTTTGAAGAATTATTAGTAGGTATTGTAAGAAATATATAGATATTAATTAAATGAATTTGGTAATATTTTGGTGAATATTGAGATGATGATTAAATATTAAACATATTGATTATGTTTTTTGGATAGATAATAATCAGAATTTATTTTGTAATTTTGGTATGAGTCAACCTGACGACGAAAAGTATAAATGCATAGAGTAATCTTGAAAACAGGAAAATAGTGGACTGTTCCCGTATTATACTGAAATGGATTGATACCACTCAATAAATACAGAAGTGCTACAAAATGCAGAGAAAACTGAAAATATTAATACGCTAATACATAAACATATAGATTTTGGTATCCATAGGAGACAAGGACATGTGCAATTGAACGTACGACTTGCAGATAGTGCTTAGTGCGAACTTTTAATTGGCACTGAACTCCTTTCCGAAATTTATGACTAGCGGTACTGGACCTCTAAAATCTTGTATTCGGGGATTTACAGAGACAATGAAAATTGAAATAGAAGATAGGATTGGAATGTGATGACTAGTGCACATTTCTAATTATAATCGAACTTTTATATGTACAAAATTGTAATAATA